AGCTAATCTGCCTTTTATAAGGCTGTTTCTGACCCTCTGCAGGTTTTTTTTCTTCTAATTAATGCTGTATGATGTGCCAGCCATCATCAAGAGAACTGCCTCAGGGAGAAAAGGCCTTAATTAATTGGGATGAATATTCACTGGTTTTAAATAATTGTTGTGACAGAGCTGTTATTTATTGATAAGTGAATGTATTTACAGTATAATAAAAGGGTTTTCTGGAGCTAATTTGAGCAGGATTAGAGCAGAAACGTCAGAGCTTTGATTGCCACATAAACAAAAACACAATTATTACAGTATTTTTGTTTGTAATATCTTTCATAAAAAGTCTGTTTGCTGAAAGCTGCAACATGAACCTTAATGTAGAAAATGTTGATTTTAACAGCACATTATATTTGCTTCTCTTGCTGAATGAGCATTGGTCAGTTCTCAGGGACTAAGGGCACACCAGTCTGGATCAGGACTCAGGTCCAGTTTCCAGTGGGAGTCATGGGGACAGCTTTAAAAAAACCACAACCCAGACAGGTTTTCTTTTATGGAGGGACAGAAAAAGAACCAGACGTTTATTGTTCATTACAGTTCAGAGAAGGGCGTGACTTCAGATTGACCCAGGGGCAGCAAACCATTTTCTGTGCCTTCCATAAAAAAAGACCAAAGTTTTATGTATTTTTTTCTGGCGCTGTAAACATTCTCAGTGTGAAAACAAGCTTTGAAGTAAAAACCGAGGGCGTATTTTTTTCTTTAGTTTTGCAGACTTATACTGTAAAATACGTCATACTGGAGATCATAAATAATTGGTTGACATGACTAAATATATTTCATGTTATGATATCCATCCATCCATCCATCCATTATCATCTGCTTATCCGTGGTGAAGTTGCTGGGGCAGCAGCCTAAGCCGAGAGGCCCAGACTTCCCTCTCCCCAGCCACCTGGGTCAGCTCCTCCGGGAGAATCCCAAGGCGTTCCCAGGCCAGACGAGAAACGTAGTCCCTCCAGCGTGTCCTGGGTCTTACTTTAGGTCTCCTCCTGGTTGGATGTGCCCAGAAAACCTCACCATGGAGGCTTCCAGGAGGCATCCCAATCAGATGCCTGAGCCACCTCAGCTGGCTCATCTCGATGTGGAGGAGCAGCGGATCTACTCCAAGCCTCTCCCGGATGACCAAGCTTCTCACCCTATCTCTAAGGGAGAGCTTGTATCTGTGATCTCATTCTTTCAGTCTTTACCCAAAGCTGGTGACCATAGGTGAGGGTTGGAACATGGATCAATCAGTACATTAAGAGCTTTGCCTTCTGGCTCAGCTCTCTCTTCACCACAACAGATCAGTAAAAACATCGTCATGGCGGACGCAGCACCAATACACCTTTTGGTCTGGCACTCTATTTTTCACTTCTGAACAAGACCCTCTTCCCTGACCTGGAGAAGGCATTCTACCCTTTTCCGACTAAAGACCATTGTCTCGGACTTCGTTTATGTTCTGACACTGAATCATTATCTAAAATCAGTGTTTTCATTTTTTCCAGAGTATTTACAATCAAATATTTACTGTTTTTGAGTGGTGCGTTTCAAGCTCTGAGTGCTAGGTGACAGCAGATTTTACCTCCTTCACTCTGATGGAACAACGAGATTTTGTGAAAACACTGGTTGTCTCAAATTTTGCAAATATCAGACTTTTAGTATTGCAATATATCGAGTTGTCTCATCCGTATGAGGGGCCTAATGGCTCTTTTCCACTAGTACCCTCTCAGCATAGCTTGATTCTGGTCAGCGGGGTTCCAAGGCATTTCCACTAGTAACAACTACCAGGTTTCTGCACCCATTTGAGTACCAACTTCCATGTGGTTCCAAGCGTATCAAGCTGGCCCTAAAACGCAACATCAAAAAATGTGTTGGTCAGAGATCGGTTAGTGGGTGGAGTCAATTATTGCTCCAGGGTATTTTACCTTGCTGCCTGCAGCCTTTTATGAGTCTTTTCTTCCAACAAAACACCACAGACCAAGAAAATGTTCCAGTCAGGTCCATCTTAACCCTTTGGAGGCAGGCATTGCAGATTTGCAACAGTTAAAACTTACCTACCTGATTACTCCACAAATGTATTTCATGAGCATTTTTTTTTACTCAGAAGTACCCCTGAAGGACTTAGTTGTTCGTCCTTTTATCAAAACTTATTTTGAGCCTGAGAGGGTTAACTGTTACCACCACGTCTTCCATTGTAGTGTTGTGCTTTTGTCAGGTACAGGTTAGGGTTGGGCGATTTGTATAATTTTTCCCACCACAAATCGTCAGTCCAAAAATTGATGATGGCCGATTGATTCATGCATGTGACAACACGATGCACGGACTGATTTGCCAACACATAAATAGTCATAGCACAGATTTATTTTTTTATGGAAGCGCAGTGCCCATGTTTGCTGGAAGAGAAATTTAGATTTTTCTTTTTGTTTAATTTTGTATTTGCTTTTGTTAGAGTGACATCTAAACAGCCGTATTAAACACAGTGTTAAACAGTAGCTTTGTCTTTGTTTCGCTGTGGTGCCCACCAACGTGGTATTGGATTTAAGCAAAATGTTTTTTCCTGAACAAAGGCTACTGGGTATCTTTCTTTTATGAGTTTGAGTAGGAAATGAAGTTAATCGCCGCTGCGTTTGGACGCACTCTGAGGAGGCAGCATTTGCGCACTGCCAGCGGTCGCATGAGCCATTTATCCCCATCACTTTCATTTCTAAAATAATAATCGTTCAATACCGTTAAATATCCATTCATTTTTAATTAATATTTAGCCAAACAAGCTGAACAAAGTGTCCCAGTAGCACAAACAACACAATTAAACGACTTCACTTAAATTAAAAACGTTTCACCTGCTGCTGCCCGAACACACATTTCTTCTGCTCCGTGTAAACCTGAGCTGGTTACCTGCAGCTTGTGTGTAATCAGATGTCTCTAGGGAGCTTGCTGAAGAGGTTATGACATTCTGGACTTTTACCTCAGACAGATTCATGGCTGTTTAAATGCTGTTCTGGATGAATCCACGCACCGCTGACACGCTGGTGATCGCATTCCAGGCGGGTGCTGAGTAACCCAAACCCTAACCCTACCCCTACTTAAGTCAAAGTTTTAAAATCATGGATTTTTTTCTCCAAATTAAACAACCAGAAACCTACCAGACTCTCTGAAAGCTCGAAGGGTTTCCACTTTCCACGCGACACCACACTCTTGTGCACAACGTCGAGTACGTCACAGACGCTCTCCGAGCTCCTCCTCAGCGCACCGTTGTCAGCAGCAAGAGGCGGAGAAAGTGTCAGATAAGATGCGCTGATGGAGATCTTTTCTTGATTGTTGCCTCCGTGATGTTCTCTGTGCGTAACGTGTAAAATATTTGTCATTAGCAAACGTACTCACTGGCAAACAAATAAATAAATGAACAAATTGGCTCTGGTAGAATCAACCATAATGGCTCAGCACATCGTCGGGATTCTCTGGAGGTTTCTTCCTGTTAAAAGGGAGTTTTCCTCTCCACTGTCGCTTTATGCTTGCTTAGTATGAGGATTGCTGTATAGTCACTGACACTAGTCAGTGACTTGATGCAATTTGCTGGGTTCCTTATATAGGAAACATTATTTCTGGTTGGCTTAATGAACTGACCTGAATTGGAATGTTTATTATGTGAAGTGCCTTGAGACGACTCTTGTCGTGATTTGGCGCTATATAAATAAACTTGAATTGAATTGAATTGAATAATTGGTCCCATCGCCCAGCCTTAGTACAAATCACGCCGTGCTACTTTGCATGTCTCTGGGGGCTGCCCCACTACGATGAGCCCACCCACTAGTGCTGTTTCCCAGTTGTAATGGAATCCCTCCCTCACCATGTAGAGTAGAATCAAACCAAGCTGAGCAGTGCTGAGTTGGTTCTAGTGGAAAAAAGGCCATAAAAAGTCACGCCCATCTACTCCTGATCCATGGGTCCTCTACTGTCAAACATAATAAAGTCCATGGAGTCTAAGTTATTTTCTGATCCCGTTTTATATGTGCCATGGATTTCAAATATGATGTCCCTGAACTTTATAGACCCATTTGATGCCAAGACAGTGTTTATTTTCCACATCCCAATCACAAACGGGTGAAAAAAAAATCATTGTAGCTTTGCTGTTTGTGTGTTTTACGTAAAAAAACAAAACAGGATTGGCTATTTGCTGTTTACAAATCCATTGGAGTGCAGAAGGAGCCAGGCATGGGCGTCACATTCAAAGCCATGCCTAATTTACCCATCTGTCAGTTAAAGACTTTAGTGGCGGTCCCAGGAGGAGCGTGACCTCTCTCAGGTATTGTTGCCTTGCTCACAGTGTCTTTGCACAATCCGCTTCATTACAAAGTGCTGTTGACTTCACGTTGGCATGGGACGTTGGAAGGAAGTGGATAGTAACAGACAGCAGTGGGCTTGACTGAGAAGCAAACAAGCTGTGAAGAGAGAGCTGAAGGTTTGCCAGTGAAAAGATTAGAGTGGCGTTTGGCTCAAGAAGTAGGATGCATCGTTGCACTTGCCACACTGCCATGGCAACGACAGCTTCATGCTTTTTTTGTGGTCTCCCCGCCGAGTGTCCAGACTGTACCAAAGAGCCATTTAAAGATCGTGACCTCCAGCATGCACTCAGCTGCACAACATAAATCACATTTTCTTAAACCCAGCTGCATCAGAGATAATAAAAAAAATCACCTCTAGTAACATCCTGGTGTCTGCAGCTTTCCTTAAATACCATGTAAATGTGTGTGAGCTATTATAAATGTGTGTGTAACACTAAAAGAGCTTCTCTGAAATCCCATCAGTCCCAGGGCTTCCATTTGTCATGCAGAGCACCTCTGTTCTCCGGTGACCAATCAGGATGAAAGCATCCCCTCGCCACCTCATCATCACGAGTGATTGACAGCCACCCAAAAGGCAAGAAAAAACAGGGGGGAGGTATTTACCTCCTCGTGTTCTCATGGGACCAAGTTAATGATCCCAGCCAACAAAATAATACAAAGAGGGAAAAGCCTGAGAAGTCGGTGCCTGGTTGAACCATTTGGAGCAGTTTCAGCTTCCTTTAGAGAGGATTTAAAAAGGAGGATGTGTGAAGAGAATTTCAGAGATAGCAGCGACAGCAGCAGCAGACTGATGGCAAAAAGGGAAGGGAAGCTTCTGAGGGAAGCCTCCGTTTTTAGAAAACTCTGCTTTGGTTTTTGTTCTGTAATTTGTGCCACCCTGACTGTGTACTGTCTCACTAACAGACAGTGAGGTAAGGGATGTCTCTTTCAGGTTTTTTCTAGTCGAGCTTCTAGCATGCTAATTTTAACGCTTCACACTTTCCTGCGTTTGTATTTTTGACAGCAAGTGTTGCCTCTAACAGCAGATTGGATGTGAACAAATAGATGCTGCTTCCCTTTACTGGTGAATTTAAACATTTTCACTGCTTATTTACAATCGTGACACGAGTTTGAATGTATTTTCTTGATCTTGTCACTTTCCAAATTAACATTGGCCATAACGCAGCATGGATTGTGGGCCATTTTTGCTTGCTTTTCTTTTCTCTGCATGCTCCAGGCTAAACTGAAACACAAGGACCCCTGGCAGGAGCTTTGGCGTACTACTAATCCAAGTGAATCCGTGCCATTTGTGCTGCGGTTTCAGCCCATTGTATAAACATGTGTCTCTCACAGAGATGTAATATTTAAAACCTGCTGCTGACGAGGTCGACTCAGGTAATGGCACCTCACCGGCTCCCTCCAAAGATACTGATCAGCCTCTCTGTTGGGATGCCAGCCTTCCAGGCCTGCATGTGTTAGTTATTTTCTGTGCAGACGAGGACCCGAGAGCCTGAAAACTTTCAACACGTTCTGTCGAAACCTCAGTACATTCCTGCAAGTTTCCATAGTAGACATTGGAGATTTAAAACTGAGAAACAGTGTTTTATTTCAGCATGTGAGTTCTCAATAGGGTCGCACACGTTCCAGTTAGACGAGATGACTGGCGCCAGGCCAGAGACAGGATGTCACTCTGAAATCAAATCATTATCGACTTCCATAATCGACTTGTTTTTATTGATTAGAGCCTTAAGCACGAAAAACATTTCTAACATAGGTTGGATCAAGTTTGCTCAGGGTCATCATACAGCAACAAAAGTTACAGGTTTCTTTGTGATAGTCTTCCACTGAAAGCTTTAAACTGGAAAAGGTCCTGCCCCTTCCACGCGATTGGCTCATCAAACGTTTTGCAGCCCACTACATCTACGGGGTAGTTTCATAGTCAGAGGAGATGAAAAGGTGGCAAGTTTTGATCCTCCAGCAGGCTTAGACGGGAGGGTTAAAGGCTCAGAAACTCACAGAGAGTCAGAAAGGCAAGTCGCTTTGCGTTAAGTTCAGACAGCTGCAGTGGATCCACTCTAAATATCAGCAGAGCCTGACTGAGGGGTGACTCTTTCATTCTGCTGCTTCCGCATGGCTGGAACCATGAGGCAGGTGAGTCAGGAGGTTAGACTCTAAACTCAGTTTGTGTTTTATGTTGTTGAGCTTTTGTGTTTTCTGACTAGAACTTGAGTCATTATGTGCCGACAAGCCTCTGGGCACGGATCTGCTCGAGAGCTACGGTTCTTTCTCTTTGCTCTGTACAGGATGATTCTTGAGGGATAAGATGACTAAGTGAGCCGACTGCGGGGAATTTTGTAATTGAGCAGCACAGAAAAAGGAGAGTGGGTGGAGACAAAGTACATTTGCAGTGACAGAGCAGTAGTGTGTTGCATGCATTGCAGCATTTTTAGGTTCCTCCAGATGTTTTTACCAAGAAAAAGTAGTTTAAGTTGAAAACTTATATTTGATCATGCATTAACAGCAGAATGGTCTTTATATATCTATGTTGGTCTCCCTTTGGGCCAAACATGCATTCCTTATCATCAAGTTAAACTTTTTCCTCACCACAGAGGAAGCAAAGCCTTCTTCTTGCCTCCCTTATTAATAAGTAACTTGTTTTGTGAGAAGGAATGTTGGAGATCTTCCCACCAGAGCGCTGTTTGCTTCTGCTTATGATCACTAGTGTGACTAATAAACACAAAACCGTCACCATGGCGACACATGTGGATTTCTTGGTGAACCACTGGATGCATTTGTGTTAGTTTGAAGACCAAAATATGTTACAACTATAACTTCACCTCTCATATAAAGAAAGTGATGGAAACAAAATGAGCTAAATAAGTAAAATATGTATTTTTTTATTTTTTACTTGAAGTTGTTTTTGGAGGAGAAAGGCTTGCTGTGGGTTGTTTTACAAATCAGCCACACGATGTCGCTATTTCCTATTTTCTGACGCAGCTAATCTTTTTATGTGACTTTCAGACTGGAACACGAGTGAGCCCAACTTTTGACTCATTTTTATAGTTTTAAACTAAGTGACTCGTTGACCCTGTTTGAACTCGTGAGGCAGCAGGTTCGAGCCACGTGCCTGGAAAGTCACATTCCGCTGAGTTCCTGAGGTCTGTGGAAAGGATACGGTGTTTTCCCGATGCTTCCACCTGCCAAGCCGCGCGCGCGCACACACAGGAAACGAGCATTTAAGGGCCACTTTCTGATGCTGACCCGTGCAGTTCAAACAGTAAACATTAAAGCAAAAAACAGGTGAGAAATTAACCTTTTTATCTTTTTAATTGAGAAATAAAAACATTTTAATTGAGTAAAGCTTATTAACTCGTCTGCCTGAAAGTTAACCCTTTAATTACCCCTCATGTCACTGTTATTCCCCTCAATGCCGTCATGTTTGACAGCTAAGTTTCTGATTTAGAGACCTAAGATGTTGGGGTTGTGAATGAACGTGTCCTCTTGAATCATTTAACATCAGCATGTGTCTGTTAGTGAGGGCCAGGCTCCATTTAGGCTAATCTGGGTAATGTGTGCAGCTGCAGATCAGGTAGATTAGTCGGTCTAATCAGCTGGCTGGTGCTGCTACAGCTGTAAATCACATCAGGCCTGAGTGGGCTGATGCTGCAGGAAGCCACCACCATCGGCCCCACATTGGTCACAGCTACGCTCTGAAGACAGGATTACAGATAAATATGCTAGGTGTCAGCCTCAGGAAAAGAAGACAAAGAGCAATCTCCATCTTTTGCGCTCTCTAAAAAAGCTTACACCGTTAAGAATAATTTCTAGGGTTGATTAAAGACCATAACCATGACGATTAGGGAGTGCTTGAACTGGAAATATCCTTCATTATCAGAAACATTTCAGTTGTTTGACTCATTAATCAACTAAAACTACAAGGAAGCACATTAGTTACTAAACATACTTATCCGAAGCAATTTTTAAATATATTTGCCACAGCTTTTCGATAAGTAACTTTATAGGCCTTCCAGTCACATTTTCCGCTGCTTTTCAAAGATCGGGTTGATGAAGGGAAACCTACCCCCCTTGGAAGTTCTAGGGCTGTTTCAGCATCTGCTTTCAGAGAAATGTAACCTCTGCCAATGTAAACTGAGCAAGAGGCATCCTAATCAGATGCCAGAACCACCTCAGTTCACTAATGTTGAGGAGGAGGAGCACCGTCTCTACTCTGAGCTCAGCCTGGATAACAAAGCTCCTCACCTAATACGGAAGGCTGACTTCAGCCAGCCTACGGAGGAATCTCATTTCAGCTGCAAGAATACAGAATCTTGTTCTCTTGTCATAATTAAAATCTTGTGAACATAGGTGAGGGTTGGTAAGCAGACGGACGGACCAGTCTATCCTTTTTTATCAACCAAAGCAACACCCTAATAACAAATGATGAGGCTCCCATCTGTCAGAAAAAAGTTAATGTTGCTTTTATCATGGATTTGACAGGATTCCGGGAGTGTAAAATTCATTCTTTTGCTATTCCTGTCTCTAAAGTCCGTGCCTGGTATATATGGCCACGACCTATAGATTGAGCTTAGTCGTTGGGCGGAATCTACGGGTGTCTTTTAAATGGTTTCTGCACTCAACTGGACAATGGTAGGACCAATCAGAGCAATGAATGAGGTTTTCATAGTGACTGAAATCAGCCAACGGGGCAGTCCGCCACACACTGTTGAAGAAGTACCTCTGTAGCTCATGTCTCAAAGAAAAGCTCAAGTCAAATCTAACGTTGATACAGAAGCCGTTTAGAAACAAGCGCTCTTCCTGAGCTGTTGCTATCATTGTTGTTTAACGTCATCAGAGCTCTGCCTTAAAAAATTAAAAGACAGTTGCAGTAGTGGTGCTTAACCAAGCATCTCTCTATATACAGCGCAGTGATTGGCCCGGTCTAAGCTTAGCCGAGCCAAAGGTAACCCTGCTGAGGCTACAATAGAGCGTGTCTAGACCGACCTGCAGCACAACAACTTTTAGCTACTGCAACTGTTTGTCTAGATCTCTACTAAAATGCGGCGTTACACTTTAAATTGTTGTTGGGATCAAGAGATTGCAATGTCATTCATGCAGTGAAAGTTTTCAAAATTTTCTGAACAGGGGAAAGCAAGAGCTTGTTAAAGTAACACAGAGCAGTTTCCTGCTCCTCCACATGGGCTTGACACACGGGAGGCGAACCACGGCAGCGGCCAGTGGCAAAGCCGTCGACGTGTTCTGTTCCATGGCGAAATCGAATCTTCCGTTGTTTTGACTGGCTGTGTCAGGTTGGAGGGAATCAAGGTTATTTAAGCGGTTCAGAGTTTTTAAAAAAAGCACTAGATATGACCTTTCACAAGGTGTTGCTAGAGTTATGTGAAATTTTACTTCTGATTTTACTATATATATAAAAAATAAAAAAATAAACCCGAGAATGGGTTCATCCCATATTACAAACCAGAGAAAGAAACGGAGAATACCTTCATTTAATGAGGGACCTCAAGGATGATCCTGATCAATTCTGGACTTACTTTTGCCTCAGCCCAGAGCTATTTGTCCATCTTCTTACCCTGGTAACCCCAAAGATTGAGAAGATTCACACAAACATGAGAGAACCAATATGTCCAGAAGAATGACTTTCTATCTGTTAATATGATAAACAATAATTATACTTTCATATACACTCACCTAAAGGATTATTAGGAACACCTGTTCAATATTAGTATGGTGTTCCAAATAATCCTTTAGGTGAGTGTATTTTCTTATTATATATTGCTCGGAGACAGGGCCAGATTAACACTTTGTTGTACCCTGGGCAACAATATTAAAGGGCCCCATCATCACGACCCACCATAATATGGTCATATACAGAATATTTTACTGTAATATGCAGTAAATATACTCAATACTTGAATGCCTGACATCACCTAACCCGCTCAGTGTAACCTTTGACCCACCTCGTGTGGACTGACCAATGAGGAGAGGGTCTTAACTTGAGGCCCTGTCTTCATTGGTCAGTCTGCATGAGACTGACTCTCAACCGCTCTCAACGGACGTTCAGAGTCATAGGCAGCGAAGCGTCTCTGTGTAGCGCAAAAGCCCGGGTGGAGAGTTTGTTTAATATAGGGTGACCATATTTCCATTTCCAAACAAGAGGACAGGGGATCTGTCTTGTGTTCCGTTTTACCTTGGCCCCCAAAATGCCTTGAAACGGCCCTGGGTGTGTGACTGAGTTTTGAAGGTGATCTGAATTTTATCAGATGTATAAATATTACATGTGAATAACTTATTGCTTTATACAGGTTAAAAACGTGTAGTGGAGATAAATCTACCTACATTTTACTTTTCAACACTTTGTTTTGTTTTCTTGTTTTTATTTAACTATTTTCCTGTCCTGTCTGTCTCTCATCTTCCTGCATCTCCTCTAAACTCTCCAGAAAATCTGCTGCCTGGATTCTTACTTTTTCACCTCATCAGTTACTTTGGAGCAGATCAAAGGGATCTCCTGACCCGCAAAGCGGAGAGCGCGTCTCGACACTGCGTCAGTGAGGTGAAATCACTGCAGCACAGGTGATGAGCTCCGCAGTAGCAGAGCGCTTCAGGCACAAATAAGACAGAAAATAGAGAACAGGTGCGGACATGAATGATCGTGTGTTATAGTTTTTTGGTTTAGCCACTTTGAGAATGGACCGCGCGCTGGACGCAGCAGCCCGGAGCGCTGCACACCAACGATCATCGCTCTGCCGCTCTCTGCTCAAAAGAGTCCATGAATGATGTAATATAGTTAGAAAACATTTTTCCCGCTCCCCTGTATGTGTAGGATATCCAGCTCCCCCGAAATTCGATCCCTGCTCCTGGATGAAAAACTGGACATTTTCATCAATACAAAAACCCCCCGGACGCCCGGACAGAGAGTGAAAAGTGGACATGTCCGGGGAAAAGAGGACGTATGGTCACCCTAGTTTAATATAAAGCAGGAGATTACAGATACAGTATTTTGCTCGTGCCCTTGCTGCCCTGGGCCTGGGCCCTTTAGAGTTCGTGGACCCCTGTGCAATTGCCCAGTTGCCCATATGGTTAATCCGGCCTTGCTCAGAGATGTACGGAGCATCCTGCCCGCTCATTGGTCAGTGAATGAAACCTCCGTTTATTGGTCCTCGTCCAAGCGACAGCGATGAAAAATGGAAAATATTTCAACTTTCTGGGATCGCATCGCTGGGTCGCCTGTGCACGACACGTGCACAACGCAAAATTTCACACGCACGTTTTTCGTGTTTGGCTTAGTAGGAGGGAGATCCGCGATTATCGCTTTGTCGCGCATGTCTCATTGAAAATGAATGCAGGAGAGGCGATGTCGCCTCCCGTGTGTCGAGTCCATACTACTAAAACAAACCCCAAAGTAAAAAGATCCACATTATTGGGCAAAAATATATTTTTACTTACAAGTCAAATAGCAACAAAGCCTGGTCACCATCAGTCTGTGATGTTGTAGCCTCTTTTAGCTCGCTCAAACTAGCCTGTGCCAATGGTCCCTCTGGTTTTAGCTCTTTGCTTCACCTCCAAAGACATACTCTCTTACTTCTACTTCCAGGCTCTGCCATGATGCCAACAGAAAATGAAACTTCTTCTGTTTCTTCTTGTGATTTTTAGTGATGACCGGCAAACTGAAAACGCTAACTGCTAGCCTTACAGCTAACATCTGTAAAGCAGGTAAATAACACCCCCTAGGACCCCTACCCGCTCCAAAAAACTATCAAGTGTGGTTCTTGTTCAGTATAAGAGTGGTGTCAAATATGAAACGGGTCAAGTCTCTAACACAGCAATCACTGAGATCAATGTTAAAGCTCTAGCTTAAAATAAAACAAAACTACCTAGTGTTACTTTAAAACAGTGTAGCTTTCACTGACTAATTCGATTAACCCTGTTGTAATATGCATAGTCCAAAGCCCTGGAAGATAAAACTTTGTTTGCGGAGTATTTACTGAGAAAATCTTTCTTATTTCACATCAAACGGTTGCAGAAAGTCACCGGAGGACCTTGCATTTGTGAAGATAGTTTAAAGTTCAAAAGTAAACTCAAGAGATTAAAAAAGGCAGATGTTTGAACTCCATCATCACATCTTATATTTTTCCTGTTTGCCTAAAAATGCAGACTGGTTCTCTCACTTGTCTCTTGAAACTCTCCCAGTGGGAGACAGATGGGAAGCACCCAGGGAGCATTCCCAAGTTCTCGACAGCTTGCACCCACAGGTTTGTCTGAACTTTAGCGTGCTTTTGATATTTACACTTTGAGAGTGAATCGCCACCCCAGGGGATGCTTTTTGAATGATGGGAGAATGAAAATGGAGCGCTGTAGGGGTGTGTGTGGAAACAGCAGCACACGGTTGGCAGATGGTTCCCCTGTGATTCCCACATCAGGGCCAGCTGGGACAGACGTGGTGTCGCACATGTGTCTGGCACCATTTGTAGCCTTATGTCTTTTTTTCCTTTGGGGACTTTACAGTAAATTTACAGCCTATAAATTATAGAGAGTTTGACTTATTCTGTTGTGAGCTTCAAACAGGAGTGATTTATTAATCTATTCTGATTTCTTATTGTATTTTTATCTTTTACCTTTGAATCCCTGAAGGGAGAGCCCAGAAAAGTTTCCCTCCTCAGTATTGTGTGAACAGCCCGAAACTGATCCGAATGCTTTGAATTTGTGAATGGGCAGGGCTGGGGAGGACATTGACCTGCCTGTGAGGATGTGGGCTCTGCGTGATCCCGTCCCTCTGCTTGTTTAGCAGATTTTACCTCCCTCTCTCCTGCTCCCTGTCGCCTGCTCTTCCCTCTTCTTCCAGTACTGGCCACAGCTCCTGCTGTAGGTGGAGCTGGCTTTCCTGGAATTGTCGGGCAACTTTTCCTGTTTGCTACCTCCAGCTCGATCTTTTGCCCAGAATGACAGCTCTGCTGCAGGACTACATGAGGTCGTGAAGGCTTGTGCCGCGATGGATGAACACAGGCATGCTGGAGTTTAGTGTATTTGGTAAAAAACAGACTTTTGTGATTCAGGCCAGAAGTTTTCCTCCAGCAAAAATGTCTCGGCTGTGCAAAGTGGGGCGAAATCCATCGTTGGGTAAAGTAAACTCTATGAATGGGAGTTGTCAGGAATGCATAATGTAAGTGTGTTTGCAGTGGCTCTCTGCCACGGTGTTGCTTTACAAGCCTTTTGTGATTTCAGGATGTTTTACATTATACTCAGTGACATCTTAGCATTAGACTCTTTGCACTTTTCTTATTAAATGCAGGACAGTCTGCGTGAAACATTAGCCCGTTGCCTGTTTGACAAGTTCTGCGGAGGTTATCAAAGTCTCCAGCTTTGTTAAAACGGTTTGTTAAATGCAGATGATAGACAAGGAGATAGTCTTTTTGTGCTTGTTCAAGAGGTTTAGTAGTCCAGAGCATCTAAAATACCACCCTTAACTATGAAGTTTAAAGGCGTGCAGGTCATCTCTGATAAAAAAAAAAGAAAAAAAAGCTGAATTCCCTGTCACTTGTCTTTGTTACTTTGTGTAAAAGCAACAAAAGTCCACAGATGCATCACGGCCACAAGAGACAAGCACAACAATTACTTCTTGTCTCAGTGGGAAGAGGCTGAAGATTTGAATAGAATGGAAAGCACAAACCCAGGTCTCTGGCTCTGAGGTAATTGTGGTATCTTCGCCGCTTCAAAAGCCCGCTTGTGCCCGGCCGTCCCGATAACGAGCTTTTGCCCTCTTCACACATAATGAGTGGAGGTAGAGGGTTCACATGGGGAGAGACGCTGCGAGCACAGTGTGTCCGCTTGCAGCTGGGGGTGTCTGACTGACCGGGAACAAAGGCTTAGTGTCTGTGATGGTGTGGAGCCCCAGCCATCAGCAAGCAGGCCGATAGACTTCTGCTTGGCTGAGCTGTCAGTCCTCGCCCGCAGCCTTACCGTGTGCAGGAGAACACGTGCAGACCAGTTCCTGAGCCACATGAAAAAAGAGCCGCAGCTGCATTCTTGAAGTTTAACAGACAGAAAGAAAGGTTTAGAAGTGGTCTGTTCTTTATTTCACCAGTTTACTTCATTTAATTAATAAGATGTCAGCCACAAATATTTATTTACTTATTCATCCTGTAAAGGAACTAGAGTGAAGGTCAAGAGAAAGTTGAATATCTGGTAACACTTTATAATAAGGGTCCCTTTATTAACATTACTTAGTGCATTACTAAGCATTATTAAACCATTAGATAAAGTATTAACAACTGCTTAAATTAATGTTAATATTATTAAATGCATTATTAAGCAAACACCCCCTGGCCCTTTTTCCTAAGAACACTTATTAGTTAGTATGTGTAACTTTAAAATAATGAGATCCGTTATTAATGCTTAATAATGCTCTAAGTAACGTTAATAAAGGGACCCTTATTGTGAAGTGTTAACCAATAAGTTTGGATTAATTCAGGACGCGTTTGCTGCAGGTCTAAATCTGTCTAAAAGGCTGCGACTTCTCCGTAAATCTTTACTGGTTTACTCAAAAAGTAGACTTGCTCATAATCTCCGTTCTTTTAAAAGACACCGAAAAGTAAAACCTGCTTTTGTGCTTTCGCTGCTTTCTTACCTTCCTAATTTATCCGCTTTCCGTCTTCACAGAAAGCTGATCGGCTTCCCTGGATTTCGCTGCCTTTCCCACTTTGTTTTGCCTGAAGATGGAAACGCTGGAGTCTGAGCTGACCTGCCCAATCTGTCTGGAGCTTTTCGAGGACCCGCTGCTCTTGCCCTGCGCTCATAGTCTTTGTTTCAACTGTGCCCATCGAATCCTGGTCTCCCACTGCACCCCCAGCGAGCCCATTCAGTCTATCGGCGCCTTCCAGTGTCCAACCTGTCGCTATGTCATCACCCTCAACCAGAGGGGCCTAGAGGGACTGAAACGCAACGTGACCCTGCAGAACATCATCGACCGCTACCAGAAAGCCTCTCTGAGCGGACCCAACTCTCCTAACGAGACTCGCAGGGAGCGAGTCGCCCCCGAGAAGACAGCCATGACGTCTCCCTCTGACCCGGTGCAGTGTCAGTTCTGCGAGCAGGACCCTCCGCAGGACGCCGTGAAGACCTGCGTCACCTGCGAGGTGTCATACTGCGAGGAGTGCCTCAAGGCCACCCACCCGAATAAGAAGCCTTTCACGGGCCACCGGCTGGTCGAGCCCTCGCTGGACTCTCATCTGCGAGGGTTCATGTGTCTGGAGCATGAGGACGAGAAGGTCAACATGTACTGCGTAACGGATGAACAGCTGATCTGCGCTTTGTGCAAGCTCGTTGGCCGACATCGAGACCACCAAGTAGCAGCCCTCGCCGATCGTTTTGACAAACTCAAGGTAGGAGACGATTTAAGCTGCAAGCATTGTCTATTGTTTCCCTTTTACAGTATAAAAATGTGTTTTCTGCTTTAATCAAAAAGTCATTTTCATTATGTGGCACATGCACATACATAATATATGTATGGGTAAATATATTTTTTATGTGATAATAAATAAAACTGAGCTTTTTCACTGCATGATTCAGACGAATGAATACATTTTATCATTAAACTCTTAATAAACTTCGATTGCGAGCTTTTATTAAGAGATTTAATTTTTTTTTTTCCATTGAAGTGAACCAGATTAGGTGTTTTTTTTAATGGTTTAATTAATCTGCTTTTTACTGTGAGCTGAAACGATGAACAACTTTGAGGCTGATTATATTTTTAAAGATTGAGATTTAGTAATTTTTCTCCTAATGCCGTCAATTGTACCTCTGCTTACATTTTATGGAAATCAGCTGTGCACATTTCCTAAAATCCTGCTAAAAATAAATAAATAATCATCGGATATAAAAGATAATACATGAGTTTAATGTGTATTCATGCAATTCAGGTGTTAACAAAATTACTTTCAAAGCTTAGGGTTATTGCAGGAGTTGGAAACTGTCTCTTTTGTTTCATAATGCGATGGCACTTGAGTTGGAGTCCACTTTCCCAGTTTTAGGTTAAGTGGATCCGCTCACTTTCAGCAGCTGGGCCGACATCAATAACACATGAGACAATGCTGCTAGCTGGAGCGTAAAAAGGTGGCTCAGCTTCTCTTTCGTTCATGTTCATTCAAATGTGCTGCTGTCAGAAGAAATTCTGCCAAGTTATTCAGCATCTTATTGTGGTTTCGACAACATTACAGATCTTTTTGTTTAATAGATCTACATGAACAGTTGAGCTTCAATGTGAAGCGTTTAATGCAGAGTAAATAACTGTCAGAACACAAACGATTAAAAAAAGGCGAGAATAAATTAATAAATGGATTTTGCATAAAAACAATCTGCTTCACTTTTGCATGGCAAAAGCTGCATGATAGAAAAGAATTACTCACTTTGCATGAGTCACTAAATGTGTCCTAAAAATGCCTGTTGGTCAAAGTTTTAGTAACTTTTTTTGGGATGTGAGATGAGAGGATGAGTCCTAACTTCTCTTCCCTTGTCTGATCATGCTGTCATCATGCAGACATCGCCTCTTCATCGCCACTTTCTCTGTGAGGGGCATGGTCAGGCATACCAGGATGCAGACCAGGTGATCAGCATAATTTCTTTACTCACCAGGACAGATTAATGAGCTCATCCCACCTGAAACTTCACTCTAATTAAAAACAATGAAAGCAAAGTCCTCTGAGATAGACTCGTCTGGTCTGGCACGTTGAGTAATGAGACAGTGACCTTGGCCGCTTTTATTGTATGAGTTATGGTGCTCAGCTTAATGAGTCCTCTGTGTTTATTAACCACCTTGTTGCTAAATGCGAGCACTAATGTTGCTTAATAACACCCTCCTGATGATTAACGGCATTTGGGATCATGGCAAGATAAACACTGTCCACTTTATCTTCCCGTCGTTACTATAACACGTTTTGTCTGATGAATAATGCCGACTCCTTTAGTATTCTGTTGCTTGGTGAAACGCGAACCTGTTTTATTCTTTCTATGACTTCACAAACGTGGTTGCTTCCATTGTTAGAGTGAAAGAGGAAATCACAATTCCTATCTCCAACAGAAATTGTTTTGTTTCAGGCGGTATATGCAGGTCAGGACCCAGGTGGCGTTCGGTTAAGCTTGCTGATTGTTATGTTTACTCTCACACATTTCTCTGAATGTCTCACAAAAGGAGTGCTTTAGTGGTAGTCTTTCAGTCTGGTATCATGATGTGATGTTATATTATAATTAAATATTTTATATGTCAATGCATCACTGCGGAACAAAGATGTTCCAGTATGGTCGCCTGTGCACCCTTTGTGGCTCCTGGAAATGAATTTTCATGGCCATTGACGGCAATTTGAAAGTTTGGCCATGCTCTTTTTACAAACAATTATCTAAAGATGTATACTAAAATGAGGCTTAGTAACAGAAAACACGGATAGATTACTTGTTTTAAAATGGGAAAGTAAAATAAATTGCGAGTGTTTGCTTTTGTTAACGGAACTCATTTCACGATCGATAAAACCAAAAACCTTCAAGCCTAGCTCAAACTTTGCCAAAGAAAGACTACCTCATTCTGTTTCAATAAAGTATGGAGATTTCAATGTTTTGCTGAGCAAAAATAAATAAATAAATAAAAAATAAACAAAAATCTGATGAGATGTACACTGTTAAAAAGAAATGATGAATTTACTAAACCTAGCTGCTTAAAGCTGCATTAGCAGCAAGGAACTCTCACTGAATGTCGGAATGGGAAAGAAAGGCGATTTAAGCAATTTTGAGCGTGGCGTGGTTGTTGGTGCCAAACGGGCCGGTCTGAGTATTTCACAATCTGCTCAGTTACTGGGATTTTCACGCACAACCATTTCTAGGGTTTACAAAGAATAGTGTGAAAAGGGAAAAACATCCAGTATGCGGCAGTCCTGTGGTCAAAAATGCCCATAAGCTAAGTAGCTAACTATCAAAATAAATGCAGCGTAGCTCAGCTCTGATAAAAAAAACAAACGTTTTGTTTCAGGAAACTTTTTTTTTCAAAATGGGCCAAATATAATACAAAAAAATGAGTTATCGTTGTTAATTTGTTATTCAAGCAACAAACTATACTTTTATTTTTATATCAGTCTGTTTTTTATCTGTAGCCAGAAGCAGCTCTTGTTGCCAGGACATGACACATTACGGTTCTGTTTCAAATGACATCCTTGTCCTCTCGTACTCGGTAGAACGGACATTCTGGTGTCCTTGTCAAGAACATGCTTGTTTAGTACACAAGAACGTACTAGCGTCCTTGAGTATTGAGAAACAGCCTCTGAGTCTATAGATAGTGTCATCTGGCCAGTTTTGATGGGAAATATAATAAACTGATGGTTTATTAGATTACACATTTGTGACTACTCAACATACATTTCTTTGTTATAGTGTATTTTATTACACAAGAATGCAGTAACAGCTGCAGCGTGACATTCAAAACCCACAAACAAATAGAATCATAAACAATCTATTAAATATTTTTGTGCTGTTTAGTTGTAATTTGAGCAAATCCTTAGATTCTAGACACACTATAAGGGTCGAACTGAGTCTTAAATTTAATGTTGTGATGTTTCACCTCTTTAAGCATCATAACAACAATCATAATCAGATTTCACTTTTTCTTAAGTCCTGCAAACTCATCTGTTCAGACTGGATTTAGTGTGAACTCCTGTTCATCCTCAGCTTCCTCACTAGAATCTTTGCAAGCTGCTGTTTCTGTAAATTCTCCGATGTTTACATTTTCTTTTTTATTCTCATTCTTTTTTCTGATCTTAAGTTTTCATTTTTACCCCCCATTTTTTTATTCAGATTTTTAAAATCATAACAAAAACATTATTGTTTATTGTAGGGCTGGGCGATATGGTCTAAAATCAATATCACGATATAGTGAGGATTTCACCTCCATAACCATAAATGGACGATAACTACAGGTATGCGCAGAAACAAAAGTTGTCCACTAGATGGGGGTGTCACATGTGATGCGTTGAGTATGTACAGTCTATGGTTGAGTCACATATTTGTTTCAAGGTGGTACAGGGACATGAACGTCGTCAACCTACACACATCTTTTCAGTTTTTTATTATCTAATTTGTTGACATGCGGAAAATAATCTCGATAAGAGCCAGAAAATTTGATAATGATAAATTTTCGATTCAATGCCCGGTCCTAGTTTCTTGTGAAGCACTGTGTGAGTTTTAACTATGTTGATGGTTTTAACTTAGCTAAAAATAAAAAATCTTTTCCTCTTCTGGTGCTCAGACAAAGGACCAGATGAGCCATTTTTAGCTTGTATATCTAGAAAATGATCAACATCTCTAACAAACCTTGAAACTAGCCTTGAGATCACCTAGAAACTAGCTGTTAGCATTAGCTTGGTTGTGTTGGCTCACGTCACAATCCACCATGGTCTGTTTGTAGACAAAGCAAGGCGGCTTTATTTGCACAACACGTTTCATACACAGACGCAATTCATTGTACTTTCTAGGAACAAGAACAGCACGAGCATAAAAACAATAAAATCAACATAACAGCAAATTTAAAAATCTGTTTTAAAATACATAAACATACACGACAAATACACAAATAAAGTTAGATGCAAGAATAAGATAAAAAAAGCTAAGTTAAAGACTGAGCAGTGTAGAAGGAAACATTCATTAAAAAACAGAACAGGGCCAGCATACATATTTAATCACTTTGTTTTCAGTGATTTTCTGCATGAAAAAATAGACTCTTTTTTTTACTGTAACAAGACTTTTTTTAATGCAAAATTACACCCTGGGCTTGAAATTTTAAGTTTCAAACTATGCCAGCAAGTGCCTTAAAGGATTAAAGCTCTAATAAATATATATTTACTAACATATAGTTTAGATAGTATAATCCTCATGTCTTTCTGATTAGCTTTAAAGCTCCACTGTGTAATACATTTACCTGTTTACTTTAAATTCTGTGGCAAACTTGTCCTTTTTAATTAATATTTCTCACCAACATCAATTCTAAATATTCCTCTCAGCTTGAAATGTAAATTTTTTTAATACACTCCATGGTTATCCACCATCTTGAAATACAGTAGCTGTTTAGGGGCATACGAGCTCCGCGTTGTGCGTTAGAACTTTGACTATAACCTGAAAGAACCAGCAGAGGGCAGCAGTGTGCCCTGGAAGCACGGAGACTGCCAATTCAACTAAGAAGAAGAAGAGATTAGCTAAACCATTGCTGTACTTGGTAGTTTGAATAATTAACAATGAAATCGAAAAACACATGAAGTTTGACAGGTCGTCTTCATGTCCAGAAGCCGTATATGTTAAGATCCCCGCCCGCTATTAGCTGGACACCAGCCTTTAGTGGTGTCCCCCCTGACTCCCTAACCCCTCTCTCCCATCATACTCCAGCGCTTGTCCGCTAGCCCCTGGCTAAATCTACATTGTTTACCTAACTTCCACAAACACATTACTAACAGTGATGTATTTCTCTATGCGTTACAGACATGACATGCTTCTGTGAGGACTTCTTCTCACCTCACCTCACCAAATGTTAACTGGGTCTCCTTCGGCTGGTAATCAGGGTTTGCGCACAGCATTCACAGCGTGTCCCCGGCTCACCAGCCGTGGCTCACAGCCAGCATGAGCCATGATTAGCTGGTCGGTAAAAGTTAGCATTGTTTACTTGATCTCCACGGGGTGTCCCCGACTCGCTAACCCTCCTTCGCCAGCCATGGGGCTACCAGTGATGGCTCCATAAAAGATCGTTTTCTTTCTTTTTCCATATCCATTAGCTGGTAGCCAACTTGTTTACAAAGCTGCTCTTATCCACATGAAACAGGTGTTGTGGGAAATGATGTTCCCCTGAAAAATGCGGTTTCCCTTAGGCAATCAAGATCAAATATTTCCAAATTCACAGAACATATAGTCCATTATGAGGACAAAACAACCTCCAGTAAAAGATGGTTAAACTGAGTGAGATTACACCCTTTTACATAACTTTCAAAAAGGATAAATAAGCTTGTAATAAGTGAACAGGAATGTTTTTACTGTACCATTTTTATTGTTTTTAGGAGGACATATAGATATAAAAACTTCAAGCATGACATTATTACATTACACTACATCATTTTCCCGTAAAAGTCGATCACAAATGTTGTGAAAATAGCCTGAAGTGCGAACTCCCGACGTGGGGGGACAGAATAATTTAGGGGAACACAATTTCTCACAACACCTGACCTCCCGGCTGACGTCACCCCTCATCCGTGTGTGAATGGTGACAGCTTCAAGATCTAACAGAACTAGCTTGCTTCCTTCAGGACTGGTAGGTTGATAAAACAGTCCTAATTAAAAATGCATTTTTTAACCGGTTGAGTGGTTATATGCTTTGTGTGGGTTAGGCTAGAGAGATTGGAAATTGGTTATATCATCAAGCTCATGAGTGGGCCACCATAGCTCCAATACTTTCTCTGATCTTCATGGAGCTAAAGAGTTGCATTTTTTATCCTCATTTCAATGGATTTCACACATGGGGCCTTTAAGTGTAACCGGACCTGTGCTGCTCTCAGGATGAAGAGGGAGCCAGTTTATAAAATTCCTAGTGTTGACACAGGATAAAACTCTCGATCCTGACAGTGACCCGTTTGGACCCTAAAAGGAAGGAAGCGTGTCGGGCCAACGCAAGGGCGTGGAGCCAGAAGCATTAAAAGGAAGCTGCTATTCTTTCCTCTCTTTAGTTTTAAATGACTTTAGGAATGAAGCATCCGTTAGTGAGAGTTGTCCAAACACGAGAGGAAGATGAATGTTGATGAAGGAAGTTTCAGCTGCAATCAGAACATCACATGAAAAATCCTGCAGAGGTGAACTTTCTCTATGACTCACGCTGCCTGTTTTATTTGTCTCCTGGTTTTATTGTGTCACCTCACCTGTAGTAGAAAAAGAACAAAACTATAAAACTTTAAAAGGACATACTTTTAGTTTTATTTTCAGCTGCCGGATCAAGACATTGTGTCCACACAACACTTTTAACAGCTCAGTCTCGCCTCACCTGTACCCGCAGCACTGGAATGGCTTTCATCACATTCTTTTCAGTATAAATAAATCATGTATATGAGAAGTGATGTATGAAAAAAAACCTTCTATTTTGGTGTACAGTGACGCACCCATCTTATAAAATCACAATTTGAAACACATAAAAGCATTCTTCACTCTTTCTTTGCACTTTTTGTTGTTTTCTACCAAAATAAATGTAGCATGAAGTGCTCTGTAGTTTTAGTGTATTAAATAGTGCTAATGTGACCCTGGTGTTTAGGGATTTTGTCAGAAGTACTTTTAACATATACACTGTAAAATCTGATCAGTTAACTTTACTTGAAAGAAGCAGGCGAACCAATTGTACTTAAAACAATAAGTACATGGGGGTAGGTAGTTATGTGTTGGAGCCATTAAGTCAAACAAAGTAAAATGTACTTAAGTGCAAGATACTATTACAAAGAGAAAAAGTAGAAAGTACTTAGAAACCTGCTTACTGTTTACTGTAGCTCGAGTGAGCAAATTTCCAAGTACTACAGTATGTACTGGTTTGTCTTAGTTATAGTAATTTGCATAATAGTGCGTTTTACTTTGTGTGCATTAGTAGCAACACACAGTTACCTGTTACTGTGTACTTATTATTTCAAGTGTATCATTTGATGAAAATCATGACTAACGATGACTAAATGGAATAAAAATGTGTTATAAGGTGGCCTCTTAAATAAAGATTTAAAAATGGTTTAATCATAATCACTAAAGAAACAGAATCTGTCCCAAAAGATCCTGAACAAAAATGGAAGCACACCCCAGAAAGGTCATCACAAGGTCGTCACGCGACCTTGTTTGTTTGTCTTGTGTTTATTCACACAAGACAAACAAGCACGGAAACTCAAAACTCACATCATTTTCACAGGTTTTGAACTGTAGGACGAAGTTGTCCAGTAATTGCATGTTGCATGTAAGTTGTCCAGGGCTGCATGGTGGTGCAGTGGTTAGCACTGTTGCCTCGCAGCACGAAGGTTGCAGGTTCGAAACTCTGCTGTGGCCTTTCTGGGTGGAGTTGCGTGTTCTCCCCATGCATGCGTGGGTTTCCTCGGGGTACTCCGGTTTCCCCCCACAGATCACAACATGCCCTATAGGTTATAAATTGTAAGTCGCTTTGGATAAAAGCATCTGAAAAAATAAATAAACATAAACAATTGGAAAGTTGCAGGTTCGATCCCGGCTTCCGTCAGAGAAGGCTGCTGTTGTGTCCTTGGGCAAGGCATTTAACCCACCTTGCCTGCTAGTGGTGGTCGGAGGGACCAATGGCGCCTGTGTACGGCATTCTCAAGTCTAATTTATACTTCTCCATCTGCGTCGGTGTGGAGACACACAACGCCATTATGCCTCAGCGCAAGGGCTCGAACGTGAAAACCTTTTTGACACTTTGTGGATGTCACTTTGTTACGGAGCTCACAGAGAAGTAGTAACCAGGCTTCACTTCCGTCAGTGCACCCCAGGGCAGCTGTGGCTACAATGTAGCTCATCTTCACCAATGTGTGAATGTGTGTGTGTGCATGTGCGGATGACTGATTGTGTTGTGAAGGGCCTTGGGGCGTTGTAGAACCCTAAGAAGGCACTATACGAGTACAGACCATTTACCATGTTTGATTCTGATCCCATAACAAACTTCCAAGACCAGATGAATTCCCTTGAACTAATTCTGGCTATAAAACAAACTGGGTGCTTCTTTCTTCAGCCATTTTTCATGAAATTTGCTTCTTGTGATAACAAATTAATCTTGCTTTTGTAGCTGCTAACCAACTCCAGTGATATTATATACGGTTTGAATCTAAATAAAGAAGTGTTGTCTGTTTCTGCTTATCATCAGAACAATAAAATACATAAATCTTGTTTTAAAAAAATCTGCATATTTAATTTCTCATGCTGTTTGACACACTGAGGTTTTTTTTTATCCAGATTTTATAGATTTTTTAGCCTGTATTAATGAACAGCTTTAGACTCATTCCAAATTAAAATTGAAACTTTACCGTCAAATGAAAGAGCGTGATGAACGAGATCCGAGGACGCTGCTGGACTCTCAGGGGTTCAGGTCACTTAGGATGAGTCGAGAAGAAGAAGGCAGACGAATGAAAGATTTAAGCTCTTGCTGAAAGATTAATAGGAATAATTAAGCAGAGATTTTAAAAGCTAGCTTGAATGATAATATGGAGCCATGTTCAAGAATAATCTTTTCTTCATCTTTAATTGTCTGGCTAATAAATGTGCGTGTAATTCAGCCACGAATGAAAAAAACGTTTCACATCCAAATCAAATCAGATGTTTTCACTTGTAGAGGTTGAGTAACAACAACAAATATATTTCCTGGCTCCTCTGAAAATATTCTGAGCATATTACTGAAATTTTCTTTATTTAGAGAGTTTGCAGGGGTTTAATGGATATGTGAATCACTGAGTTTCTGCAAAACAAGTTACATTTAAAAGATTATAAAAGTATTTTCTGTTAGAAGTTGAGCCAAAAATGTGGTTTTTTTTTACAGCCTGAAGTTTTGGAGTTACACCCTTAATTCCTTGCGTTTATTGATAGAGCACTCAGAAATAAATCCAAATTAAGTTTTATTGCTGGAGAAGAATACAATACGAGCAAGCATTTTTTATAATCAGAGCGCACCATCATCCTGCCACCCAATTACAGCCAGAGATTAAGTTTGAAACACCAGCCTTTGATGTCAGTAAGTGATTAACACAGCCAGGGTTTAGTTGTCCAAATCACTGGCAGATGTTCTGCTAAGCTCCACGGCCTCAGCAGGCTTTGTGATGGGATCTCTGGTGCACCACGGGGAGGACTTCAGGGAGGCCTCGCACTAATCAGGCCCTCCGAGTGGACCGGTGGATCCAGTTGCAGCCTCTGCTCGCCACCTTTAATCTCTTGTCACCACCAGTCGATGTTTATTCACATGCGCTAACCGTTCTCCAATATTTATTCAGCTGCCTACGGTTCGATGGTGAAAAGTGTGTAATTAAATACAGTTTTCTCTTTCAATTATGTTTTGCAGCAAGCCTTGGATTCCAACCTCAGTAATCTAATCAAGAGGACCAGTGAGTTGGAAAGCTTGATGGGGAAGCTTATCCAAACCTGCCAGAATGTGGAGGTGAGGTTGTTGATCTTTCTGCTTTCAGGTGGAGGCTTCGAAGGCATTTCACAGGCAACAATAACTCGTTAAACCATTAATGCAAAAATTATTTATTGGATCTGATGGAGGTGTTTAATCACGCCACCAAAGGGAGACCTCAACAAGCATTTCTTAGTTTCCACTTTTAAGACAAATCAAATGAAGTTCTACCTTTTATTTCACCTGAACAGACTAATATTGGTTTTGTTTTGTGATCACGGCTGCAGAAAGATGAATCCAGCATGGATGTTTTGTTAGATTTCATTCCCTGCTACATTTTATCTGTGCAGTGTTGATTTAGCTCCTCGTATTGTTTACTAAAACCATGTTCAGTGGAACATTTTTTTTAAAATAAAACCCAGCACTATTATTCACCGTCGCTTATCTACGCTCCTCTTTTCTGTCCAGGTAAATGCGTCTCGGCAGGAAAACAAGCTGCTGGAGGAGTGTGACCTGCTGATTAATATCATACAGCAGCGGAGACAGATCATAGCGACCAAGATAAAGGAGGGAAAGGTGTTGTTTATCACCTTTTGTATCTGTATAACCTTTGTTTGTTTGTTTATCACGTTCTCCGTGTCGATAACCTTGCCTTCTCAAACCCGAGCCTGCTGATCTCATTAAACCCGACATGAATCATCAAACTGCAAAAAGGTTCTGCCTAAACTAAATCTGAAATATATATATATATATATAATGTTTTCATCTTGTGAAGAAAAAACTCAAAGTTTGCTCTTTTGCTCATTTGAACACAAGCAGTGAGATTTGATGCAGTTTCAATGAAGGCCTTTGCTAAAATGATGCCAACGTTTAGATAAATAGTCTTTCGTGACAGATTTAATTTAGAGTTAATGATTCACTAAAAATTATATTTTATTCCACTATTTGTTTTTGTAAATGTAGTTTTTAGCATCCTGAGAGGAAATTGTGAGATTTTAAAGTATAAAATTTTTACCATTTTTATTTTCTTTTAAAGGATTTGAGTTCAAACTAAATAATTTCATAGTATCTAAAGAGATGTTCCCCCCTCAGTCCACCAGAATACAACTTCTTTAGAGCCACGACTGGAACTTTAGAAATAAAATATGTTTTATTAGTTTTGAGAAATATCTATGGAAGAGGATCAGGGCCAATCTCTTCTCTCTCTCTCTTTTTCCTCAAAATTCTGAGATTGAAATCAGGATTCTGGCTTTCCTCTGGAATAGAATGAAAAATATTTTTTCTCTTTCATAAATATCCACTGCAAGAGATTTGTTATCATTTGTGAGAGAACACCATTTTGTTTCTATTATTAAGTTTATATCTTAAGAATAATAATTTAACTTTTGCAATAAAAAGAATATGGAAATTTATATGATTTTGATATTTATAGTAAATGGCAAAGAAAGAAAAACTGATTTAAAAAATATTTTGTGGAAATTCAATGAAATCATTCCATGAATAAAACTTTTTTATTATTCTTATATCTATATTTATAAACACAGTTTATGAATGTTTTTATTATTTTCAGCCAAATATTTTAAGAACCACAGAAGAGCGTAAGACCCATATGTGGCTCCAGAACTGCAGGTGGGGGACCCTTGTTCTAGGCCACAAGAAGGCATTGAGTTTTTATGTTTCCTATTTAAAGCATGAGTTGACCAATGAGATTAGAAAGGAAACTCTAGCTGAATTTGATTGGTCAGCTGCAGAGTCTTTGTTTGAGTGAAATTTGTCTTTGCAGCACAACAAATAGACAGTATGTCACAGAGACAAGTAAAGACGCTTGCTTTTAAATTCAAATACAATGGATGTAATCAAGAAAAAATTGGATGACTTTCCTTTATTCTCACAGTATTTTCTGTCTTTATGAATTTAGTTCTTTACATGACTCAGAAAACAGATCATTTTAACCGTTTTCAGTTTCAGAACCAGTTCTTTTACTAACTGCATTGTTGGTTCTTCTTTAAAACACAGAAAAGGTTTCTTTTTTTCCTTGCTGCTGGCAGTTTCGTTCTCAGCTGCAAACTTCCTCAGAGCTGATGCTGATGGTGGCGTCACGTCCTACTCCTAGTTCTTTTACTCGAGCTAGAGACAAAAACAGCTTTGTTTGGTTTAAGGAAAGACTCTTTACCCCATCACCATGTTTATGTGTCAGCTGTTTGTCGATGTCCTTGAAGAGTTTGGAGGGACTAGCTATCAGAAATGTTCTTAGTGGTTTCACCTGGTTGACAGATTTAATAAGGGCAGCAGGGAGACACAAACAAACCGAGGGTGAAGGTGGAGCTAAAGCAGTTATATATAATATATTTGATGTATAATCTCATCCTGGATGATCTTATTGTGGATAATGAAAGAAATGTGTTCACGCAGAATTTAACATAGAAAATAGTTTTTGACTCATACCCATGTGTCCTTAATTATAGTCTATTGTGTTCCTCACCTCCCTTTTTCTGGGCAATGCAAGGCAGCTTTATTTAAATAGCACATTTCATACACAGAAGTAATTCAGTGTGCTTTTTGGGTGCAATATAAGCGAAGACATTATCAATGTGACAGCATAAAACAGCACATTATATAATCACATTTAAAATGCACAAATAAAATTAGATGTAAAAAACTAAAAAGACAAAGTTAAAAGGTGACCAGTTACAGTGCAGAGGGTGCAGCATCAGAAACAATCATTCAAAGGTTGATAAATACATGAAAGTTTTCAATTTTCAGTCAAAAGTTACTGGAGTTGGGACACATTTGAGGTCATATGGAAGCTGGTTCCATCTGTGTGCAGCATAGCAGCTTCACCCAGTTTGGTTCTGACCCAGAGTTCGACAAGCTGACTGCTACCTAAGGATCTCAGAACCCTGCTGGGTGTATATACTGCAAGAAGATTTGACATGTATTCTGGCTCCATGCCAGTGAGTGATTTCTAATCTAGTAGAAGCACTTTGAAACCAATTCTGTACTTTACTGGTAACCAGTGTAGAGGAATAAGAACAGGAGTGATGTGCTCCGTTCTCTTGGTTCTTGTTAAGACTCTAGCAGCAGCATTCTGAATAAGCTGCAGTTGCTTCACAGCTTTTTTGGGAAGACCAGTCAAAAGATTACTGCAGTAGTCCAGCCTGTTGGAGAAGAATGCATGAATGAGTTTCTCTAGGTCCTGTCTGGACATGAGACCTCTGAGTCTTGCAATTTGATAAAGATGATAAAACGCTGATCTAGTTATAGCCGTAATGTGCCCAGTGAAGCTCAGGTCCGAATCAAATATGACACCAAGATTTCTAACCTGAGTCTTTGTCTTTATTCTTCTGGACCAAAGATGAGCAATAACCTCCATCCTATCCTTCTCATTACCAAAGACAATAACTTCAGTCTTGTCTTTGTTTAACTGGAGGAAGTTTGATTGGATCCAGTCATTAACCATCTTCAAACACTGACTGAGTGAGTCTAGGGGACCACAGTCACTAGGTGACAGAGTTAGGTAGATCTGGGTGTCATCTGCATCACTATGATAGGCAATGTTATTGTCTATGACTGACCTAGGGGAGCATGACGAGATTGAAGAGCAAGTGTTCAAAGAATCGAGCCTTGAGGGACTCCACATGCCATGGTGATCAGGTTTGATTTGTGATCACCAATAGAATCAGCATAAACCCGGTCTTCAAGATATGATTAGAACCAACTGTGCCTGATAGTTCCACCCAGTTTATGAATCCATCAGAAAAGATGGCGTGGTCCACAGTATAAAAAGCTGCATTGAGATCGATCCTAACCTTGCCTTTCATAACAACTGATGCTAACACAAGCCAGCTGATATCAAAATAAGAAAAAAGGTCCAAGTTGTTGGATTAAAATATTATTACTTACAAGTCCAGTAACAACAAAGCCAGGTCACCATCAGTCCATGATTTCATAGCCTCCTTTAACTCCCTGAAACAAGTGTATGCCACGCCAATGTTCAGTTGAATCTAGCTTTTGAATCTAGCTTTTTTTGACGGAGCCTGTAAGATGTTGGACTCATGCCATGTTCCAACTTGCTTCAAATCCTCCGTTATTGTCCCAGTCCCTAAAAAACCAAAAATCACTGGACTAAATGCTAGCTAGACAGTTTTAGCTCTTTGCCTTGCTCACTTTTACTTCAGAATCAGATTTATTTATTGCCATGTAGGTGAGAGGCTCATCTACCAGGAATTTGTTTTGGTGGCAAGGTGCAAATATACATTCAAGGTACAAACATACATTCAAGTCAAAGTCAGGTCAGGCAGCATTTACATTAAGATATATCAAATAAACAGAAGTAGAAACATAGCTAGAAAAACAATCATACGTGTAGTAATGTGGGTCACCCGGGCATTTCTGTGTCTAGTGGCCGATCATCAGTTGTTCGGGAGACTTATAGTAGATGGGAAGAAGCTGTTTTTGTGGCATGAGGTTCTGGTCTTTAAGGACCTGAGCCTCCTCCCTGAAGGTAAGGTTTCAAACAGTCCATGACCAGGGTGAGAGGGGTCAGCTGTTATCCGACCTGCACATTTCAGAGCCCTTGAGTTGTACAGGTCATGTACTGATGGAAGGCTGCATCCGATTACTTTCTCCGCTGAGCGCACTACTCGTTGCAGTCTTTGTTTGTCCCTGGCAGTGGCTCCTGCATACCACACAGTGATGGAGGAGGTGAGTATTGATTTGATGATGGCCGTGTAGACCTGGATCATTATCGTGGCTGGCATGCAGAGCTTCCTCGGTTGGCGCAAGAAGATCATCCTTTGCTGGGCTTTCTTGATGAGGGCATTGATGGACACCTCCCACTTGAGGGCATGGGTGATGGTGGACCCAAGGAAGCGAAAGGAGTTCACAGGTGAAATCTGGTTGTCTGTCAGGAATGGAGTCACAGGAAACGTCTACATCGACAGCGGACGCCATTACTGGTGGTGCTGGTGTTCTCTTGAAGTCTACAATCATCTCCACTGTCTTTTGCTCGTTCAGCACCAGGTTGTTGTTTCTGCGCCAGGACGCAAGGTGCTCCACCTCTCCTCTGTATGCAGACTCGTCCCCATCTGAGATAAGGCCAATGAGGGTGGTGTCATCCGCAAACTTGACCAGTTTCTCCATCTGGTGATTTGAGGTGCAGCTGTTAGTATATAGGTAGAAGAGTAGAGGAGAGAGGACACAGCCCTGGGGGGTTCCAATGTTGGTGATTCGGGTGTCTGAGACATGTTTTCCCAGCCTCACGTGCTGTCTCCTATCTGTTAGCTTGTCCTGAAGGAGAGCTGGGCAGACTGTGTTAAATGCTGAGCTGAAATCTACAAACAGTATCCTTGCGTAGGTTCCTGAGGAGTCCAGATGTTGCAGGATGAAGTGAAGGGTAAGATTGATTGCATCATCTACAGATCTGTTGGCTGTGTAGGCAAACTGCAGGGGGTCCAGAAGAGGGGTTGTGATTTTTTTGAGGTGGTTCAAGACCAGGCGCTCAAAGGACTTCATGGCTACGGATGTCAGCGCCACAGGCCTGTAATCATTTAGTCCAGTGATCTTTGGTTTTTTAGGGACTGGGACAATAACGGAGGATTTGAAGCAAGTTGGAACATGGCATGAGTCCAACATCTTACAGGCTCAGTCAAAAAAAGCTAGATTCATCTTATTCTTGTGCTTTTTATTGACAGTCGGCAAAATAAAAAAGCTAACAGCTAGCCTTTATGTTAGCTACCGGCACAGAAAACAACTGTTGTCGTTAAGCAGGTAGTGAGCTCCCAGTAGTGTATGCCCAAACCACAAACCTGTTAAGTGCAGCTTCTGGTCAGCAAAGGGCAACAGAGGGCTGTCCAAGGTGAAGCTGCTCAAGTTTAATTCAATTCAGTTTATTTTTGTAGCGCCAAATCACGACAAGAGTCGTCTCAAGGCACTTCACAAAGTAAACATTCCAAAACAGTTCAGTTCATTGAGCCAATCAGTAAAAAGTTTTCTATATAAGGAACTCCGTAAATTGCATTAAGTCACTGACTGGTGTCAGTCTTTACAGCAATCCTCATACTAAGCAAGCATGTAGCGACAGTGGGGAGGAAAACTCCCTTTTAACAGGACGAAACCTCCAGAGGATCCTGGCTCAGTCTAAGCAGCCATCCACCACGACTCACTGGGCATTGGGAAGACAGAGCAGACACACACACACACACACACACACACACACACACACACACACACACACACACACACACACACACACACACACACACACACACACACACACACATGTACCCACAATTAATTAAACTGGTGAACTAATAGTAACACATTACATGCCAAAGAAAGTAAAATGGGTCAAGAACCACAAAAACCAGTTTGAAAGCAAAAGCTTAAGTTGTTAAAACTCTCCCGTGTTACTTTAAGAATATTTCCCAACTGACAACACTTTTACAAATGTTTCACAAATAATTCTCTTTATTTAATCAATTCTTAATGTCAAATTGGATTTTTGTTTTCAGTCTCCGGTGGAATGTTCCATCTGGCAACACAAATGTGCGTCTGGCAGGTTGACTTGCTGAAGATTGATTGATTGGCTGTTTATCTACAAATAAACAATCAGGATATCATGTTTTGTGCCCAGGACATAAGGCTGAGGAAGCTGGCGCAGCAGATAGCCGGCTGTAAGCAGTGCATCGAGAGGTCCTCCTCTCTCATCACCCAGGCTGACCATACGCTGAAGGAGACCAACCACACTCACTTCCTTCAGTCGGCTAAAAGCATCTGTGAGAGGTAGAAGAGCAGCCAAACCCAACATGAAATGACGTTTACCTCCTACAAATGTTTCTCTTTGTTCTAGAGTGTCAATGGCAACGGCGTCCTCACAAATACTGTTACCAGAAATAAACCTGATTGATGCCTTTGATACGTTTGCTTTGGACTTCACGAGGGAGAAGAAAATGTTAGAAAGCTTAGATTACCTGACAGGTGAGTCAAGTTGTGCCTTTGAGTTCACATGTCACTGCTTGCATGTGAATAATTACAATAAACTGCCAGTTTGTTGCTTAAAATCTTTATTTACCACAACTTTGTAACTGCTGAACGCTTCATTTCATCAAACATTCATTAGAAATCATTTGTTCAGCTTGTTTGAAAACATGCACACAGTAATCTAAAGGGTTTGGCACGAGTAGAGGCGAATTTCAGTCATGATGTTGACTGGCAGAGAAATAAAAAATTCGCTGTTCTTGGCACAAGTAGCTTTATTTTCCACTGAATGAAACATTTGATTGTTTATCCTCAGCTCCTGTTGGGCAGTGAGAATTTACGCCTGTGTGGCGGCAGGAGCTGTAATAGCTGGAGGAACTCCAATGTAGACTAATTACACTTGTCGGACTAAAAAAAAAAACAATCATGGTGATATTCAACCACCACTGGCTGCTATAACTATTATAAGAAAAAATGATCCTGTTATTTCTCCTTTTCAGCACCAAATCCACCGGTAATTCGTGAGGAACTATGCACAGCCTCGTACGACACGATCACGGTTCACTGGACGTCAGATGATGAGTTTTCTGTTGTATCGTATGAACTTCAGTACGCCATCTTCACCAGCCAAGCCAACGTTGTCAGTAAGTCTTGCTTTTTTAAACATAACATTAGATATGGGAATTTAAAGTGGAATTATGTGGAATTAAACGCTATTTGATGGCATCTAAACAAAAGCAAAAACTGAGTGCTGACGCTCTGATGTTAAATCTAATGAGGTTTGCTAGCTTACTTAGTTAGAGGCAGGGCAGAGAAACAAGAGCCTCACTAGATTTCCATCCAGATGAACATAACGAGCCTGATATTGTCTCAGCGTTGAAATGAGCAGTAGCCTGCTTGAATTGATCACCCTAATATGGTCACAACACGCTCAGTCGAGCAATGTTTCCTCCCCTCCCTCAGTGCTCCTGCTCACTCAGATGTGTGCTAATGAGATTGTGTTTGATGAGTCAAAAAAAGCAGCTCTAAATTGAAAAATTGCTGTGATTTCTTCTAACTAAGCTTGTGATTAATTGCTTGTTCATTGCAAGTGACTTTTATTGCTTGTTTGGACTTCTGCAGGTTTATGCAACTCTGTGGACAGCTGGATGATTGTCCCAAACATCAAGCAGAATCAGTACACCGTGCACGGACTCCAGTGTGGCACCAGGTACATTTTCATAGTGAAGGCCATAAACCAGGCTGGAAACCGCTGCAGCGCTCCAGGAAAACTCAAGACCAACAGTATGTGCAGATGCAGCCATAATAAAAATAAATGAAAATTCAGATTAGAGATCTAAACATAACTAAAAATGGTTTCACTTCATCTTAAGGTCAGCCCTTCAAGCTGGATCCAAAATCTGCTCACCGGAAACTGCGGGTTTCCCATGACAACCTCACAGTGGAGAGGGATGAGACGTCATCCAAAAAGAGCCACAGTCAGGAGCGCTTCTCCAGTCACAGCAGCTATGGAGTCACAGGAAACGTCTACATCGACAGCGGACGCCATTACTGGGAGGCGCTGATAGGAGGCAGCACGTGGTAAAACATCTATTTTTATTGGATTTACCAGGAAATCTCCAATTCATCATGGATTTAAACGTGACTTTCCTAAAACACATTTTGCAGGTTTGCAGTGGGGATCACTTACAAGTCTGCACCAAAACACGAGTGGGTTGGCAAAAACGCTGCATCCTGGGTGCTGTCCCGCTGCAACAACTCGTGGGCTGTGCGTCACAACAGCAAGGAGATTCCCATCGATTCCTCTCAACACCTGAGGCGTCTGGGTGTGCTGTTGGATTACGACTCAGGATCTCTGTCCTTCTACGACGCCGTTGGTTCCCAGCACCTGTACACGTTTGACATCACCTTCTCTCAGCCAGTCTGCCCCGTGTTCAACGTGTGGAACAGGTGCCTGACCATCGTCAGTGGACTGCCCATCCCTGATTACCTAGAGGACACGGACTACAACAACTGATGGAAACACTTTTGCTCATTTGTTAAAAAAAAACAGACTTAAACTGTGATCACATTTTTTATGACAGAAAAAGAAAAAAGAACGATTTGAACCTGTTGTTCTTGGGAAACATTGCTTTAAATGAGTAGAAATTAATTAGAAATATTTAAGCAAATTTCAGGCACTTGTGAATTTTTGTCTTTGCTTTGCACAATAATGTACAGAACTCTGCTGGGATGTTTTGCTTACATTTTTTAAGGTGTTCTTACTTGGGCTGGAGAATATTTTAATATTTTTCATTAATGATAAAGAACTTTTAAGTGCAAAAGGATTTTTGACACATTTGTAGAGGATTTTTGATACAGTCTAATGACTTAATAGCACTTTTTAAAGCAACATCAGCCATAATACATGTTTACTTGTTCTGGTATTTAAAAAGGGAGATAATTTCATCTGTTAATAATACTAGAGCAGCTTCACTCACAAGATTTCATTTGAAATCATTTAGTTAAACCACTTCATGTATTTATTACCTTCTTTTGCTTTGCCACAGCAGTTTAATGGCTCCATTACAGGTTCCCATTCAAGTTTTTCTTTTGACTAACTTGTAATAAAAGTAACTCCATGTCAACACCTGTGCAATCTTCCTCTCTTGTGTTGTGAAGAGCTACAAAGGCAGCTGACAAGGATGATAATTTCATGCAATGAGCATTCGCTGTTTACACGCATTTATTTAGGATTTCCCATTTGTGCTTGAATGTGTTTTCACATTCACACCATGAAAACGCCACCACCGCAGTGAGAAGTGTCAGTTTTTCTGCTTTACGGGATCATCTCTGACCCACGCTGAGCCAAACTACCACCTCTGACGAGATCCACTCTGACATCCCTTTTTGTGCCGAAGTAATATGGCTTGAATTCTGCAGCGTCTCCTTTCAACAAAAGAAGAAGAGGGGTGGGGGGTATATCTGAACTCTGCATGACCTTCCTACACGAGACACCCTGCAGACAAAGCTGTAATACATCAGCACCACCTCTTAACTCCTCTGTAATGCCACCAGTCCTAGATTTTCAGATGTGCTCATTTTTGTGTGTAAAGGTTGCTGCAGTAATAAAAATAACAACTAAATATTTCAAGTTTTGACACAATTCTCTCATCTTAGAGACTATTTGAAAAAATATGCAAACTGACTTCAATAGCATGCCATTAACCAAAACACGCAAAGATTAGAAAATGAAATCTAATGCATTTGTAACAGATTAGGTAAAATGCTGCTTTAGTTTCTTTATATATGGCATTTTTAATTTACTAGCAGGCTTAAATCCCTTGTTTTTCTGTTGTATAAGGTCAGTACAGGTAGTGAAAATATACTTTAAATCATAAAATAGTCTGCAGAGCTTAGACCTAATAATTTTGATTTCACTTTTAAAACTTTGTGCAATTTTCTAGGGCTCCATCGACTAGATTTTGTTCAAAAATGGGAAAATGATACACCCAAAGAAAAAACATCTGCTTAATCCTTTGACATTTGTTGTCATGTGAAGCAAATACAATGAGAATTTGTGAAGGTTTTATGTTGTTTATTTCTGTTTGGCTCAGCTTGAACAAGACAGGATATACTTGTAACAGACCTTCCTCAGTGTCTTTGTAGACACCGGTTTGGTGAGATGACACTAAAAGATTTAATAAAAGCAACAGAAACACCTATATTATCTATCAGGGGAGAAATAATTGGATCAAAGCAGAGTAAACAATAAAAGGCTGGACACTGAAAAAAAAACGCAAGCAATAATTACTTCCATCCATCCATTGTCTGAACCTGCTTTGTCCACGTAGGGTCGCGGGGGTGTGGTGTGTGTGTGTGTGTGTGTGTGTGTGTGTGTGTGTGTGTTTGTGTGTGTGTGTGTGTGCGTGTGTGTGTGTGTGTGTGTGCCTATCTCCAGCAGTCAGTGGGCAATCAGGCAGGGTACACCCTGGACAGAGAGCCAGTCCATCGCAGAGCAATAATTACTTAAAAGAGTCAAATGAATTTACCACATTAAACTATTCTAATCTGTTCTACATTGTGCCTTTTCTAGTTATGGAACCTTTCTCTAACTTTTAACTTCAGTTATACCCAATTATGATCATTTCATTAATACTTATAAAAAGCGAGGACATTTATTTTCAATAAATATGTTACATGTAACTAACATTTGAAATACAATATATATTTTGAAGCATGGTTCTACTTTTTATTGCTGCTTTATATGGCCCCTACATAATAACAAAATGTAGCCCTGTCATTGGTCCAGCTTATGCCCCGCCCACCGTCCCGGAAAAGGAAGTACCAGTGCGCTTCTGCTGCTGACGTTGTTGCTGTTAGAGTGACGATGGCGTCCACAGACCAGCCCCTCCTGGACCTAACGGACAAGGAAACCCTAGAAAAGCTCTCCTTGTGGGACCGCCGCACGGATGCGATGGCTCCCCTCACGGAGAAGCAGATGGACTCTGTTCTGGATATCCGAACCGCAGCCGAAACACTCTCTGTTCCCTCGGAGGTAGGATAATACTCTGACGACAGCTAGCAGGCTAACGAAGATGCTAACTGACTTTCTAAACGCTGGGGAGGCCGACTCCACGTACAAGTTACTTTTGTTTAAAGTTAATTAATCTCTTTAGTGTTAAAAAGTACCTTTAAGTTTATTTAAGTACTTCCCATTCCTATGTTTCGTTATCTGCTTGCATTCGTGTTGAGCTATGTTGCTAGTTAGCTTCAAAAGAACATCAGACAACCCTGTTTTGTGCTACAGTTGCCCATTGAGGACTTGTGCAGCCTGTCGTCTCGGTCCTTGCAGTCTCCGTTCACAGCAACTGTGCCTGCTTCGACCGAGGACATCCTCCTGAAAGGCTTTCAGATGATTGGTATGGAAAATGACAGGATAGAAACCGCACAGCAGGTGACTGTCATTCATTCATTTTTGTAAACAACCAGTTGGCAAATAAAGTGGATGGTGGTAACGTGATGTATTTTTATTTATTATTTTTTGCAGTTTTTTGCCTGGTTTGCCAAGTTGCAGGCAAACATGGATCTGGATGAGAGCATAAAATACAGGTGTTTAAAAGTTCACCAAAACTGGGTTTTTTCTAACCCATCATTCCTGGTTTAACAGTGATCACCCTCTCAGAACCGTTTTGTGTCAGCAAACGGATGTAAACAACCTCCAACAATGTCCCTTTGCTTTGGGATGACTAGTACCCTGTGTATCCCTCAGTAGCGTTACTTTGTCCCCCTGTCTTAAAGAAAAAATAAATAAAAAACGGCATCTACCTTTCAGGAGAACCAGGGATGAACTAAACTGCTCCCAGGAACAGTGTGATGCTATCCTGAAAGATGTCGGTGTAGCTCTTGCTCACCTGGATTCCCTTCAGAAACAGTATCTGTTTGTGTCCAATAAGACCGGTGCTCTTCACGAGGCCTGTGAACAGCTTCTCAAAGAGCAAGTAAGGTGAACTCGATGTCTGTTAGATTTTAGTTGGAACAACTGTATTTTATGGTATTTTTCAAAGTAAAGATGCAAAATGGTTGTAAACAGTTTCATAGTTTGTCTAGAAAACATGGATTTCTATCAAACTTTGTTGATCTGGGGCTAAAAAGAAAACTGAAGCAACACAGAAGAATTAGACTTCAAATATTAAAAGTAATTCTTACTTATTTTTCATGATGCTTATGCTTAAAATCCCATGTAAACTGACTTTTTAGAAGTTAAACTGAAGTCACGCTGTTATCAAAGAGCTTTAACGGTTGTTTTTTCTCCTCACAGTCGGAACTGGTTGACCTCGCGGAGAGCATTCAGCAGAAATTGTCGTATTTTAATGAGTTAGAAAACATAAACACGGTAGGATGGCTGTTTTATATTCAGTAGTGAATAATTATCATATACATTCTATTATTAGTTGTATAGTTTTGGGATCGTAATGATTATCCAGTATGCTCTATTGTAAAATGATTGTTGGAAGTAATTAGATGTCATTTATATGTTAATTTTTGCATCAGAAAAATAGAAAAGCTTTGTCTTTTTTTTGCTTCAATAGCGCAAGTAAAGCAGCTGTTTGTGTTTTGAAATTTAATAACATAATTGTTCCCGTGTTAATTTAAGGTTTTAAATTATCTGTTTTCCTTTGGTCTTCACAGAAGCTGAATTCTCCTACTTTATCTGTAAATAATGAAGGTTTCATACCAATGTTGTCCAAATTAGATGACTGCGTAGAGTATGTTTCCTCCCATGTAAGTAGCTTACTCTCTGTACTGTTTGGCTTTCCGTAGTGCACATAGTTTTTACTTCTGTAAACGTCTGCAATAAGAACACGCCTTGTATTGTTTGTTGTTAAAGACGTTTAACACTTTTGTTTTTCTGTTTATTACAGCCCAATTTTAAGGATTATCCAGTTTATTTGTCCAAGTTTAAACAGTGTCTCTCTAAAGCTATGCACTTCATGAAGGTCTACATTGTAAACACTATGCAATCCCTCACCAGCCAGTTAACAAAAAGGGTAAGAAATCACATGTTCTCCTCCTACAAGCTTATAACTTAATCATTATGGGGAAAAAAACAATGCTAGTATGAGACAGTTGATTAGGTGTGACATTTTTTCAGAATTTGTATTTGTTCATGGTGAATTTTGTAGATTTTAATTCTATTTTGTTGAAGTTTTTATGTTGTAAGAAATCCCAAAGACAGAAATCAGTTCAGCTGAGGTTTTATTGTATTCATTGTATATTTGTAATTGCAAATATTAAATAAAGTTTTCTGGTCAAAACGTAAAAGAAAATTATAAACTATATTATCTAAAACTATATACAAATTGTTCAAGTAAGTAGTGGATTGCCAGTGCATCATATTTTTAGTCTGAAAATCTCGGGTGTTTAGTGACAACTAGGGTTGAGCATCATTTGATTTTGAACGATTCCGATTCCAATTCCTCTTTTCGATTCCGGTTCCTATGATATCCGATTCTTTCAAGACATGACATGTTTAACATGAGCTAGCTAACCACAGGTCCTACTTGATGAAATAATCTTAACTTCAACATGAATTCTAACTCTATGAACAATAACATCACCTTCATTTAGACAAAAACATGTTTTGGAGAAAAAAAGAAAAAGACTTGCAGCACAACCAGTGTGTTTGTTTCTGACCACAACCAAAGTGGAAGAAGCTCGGTGCTGCACACAGACAGCTGGTGTGATCAGCTCTGAAAAGCGTTGATCACAGTTTGCAGATCACATTTATTTTTCACGGAGACCAGCCACGGATTCCTCTTCCAGTTGGCATACTAGGAATTGAAATAAAAAAACTTTGAACGATTCCGGGAAAAACTAACAGTTGGTCCCGGTTCCAATCAATGCTCGATGCCCAACCCTAGTGACATCTAGTGGCTTAAATTACAAATTGCAATCAATTAAATATTTATGACATTGCTGTCCAATTCTGGGCTATGATTCTGCATATTTTAGAAGGATTTCTGTGTCCACACATCCGATTCTGTGTTAATAATTGCCAGGCTTGTGCAGAGCTTGGTAGCCACTGAATCCAGTGTTTTGGCGTAAACTACTAAAACATGCTGAACAGCCCTTCCAGGATTGGACATCACTGATTTACAACATAAAATGTTAAAACTGCCCTGGGACATACTTTCCATTCAGCATCATTAATTTAATGATGGGATATTTTAGTTAAAAAAAATGAATCCTTGCTTTCACATTTTTTGTGTTTCTTTCCCAGGATCCAACAGGCTTGACTAATGCAGACAACGCCTTTACACTTTATTATGTTAAGTTTAGAGCAGCTGCACCTAAAGTTAGAGTGAGTATATTTGATCAGGACAAACAGTGGTTTATTTTCTGTAATGACAAATAATAATTTACATTTGATGCTTTCAGTCATTGATTGAACAAATAGAGCAGAGAGCAGAGAAGATTCCTGAGTGAGTTGTACTTGTTCATTTATTTTATATACACTCAACAAAAATATAAACGCAACACTTTTGTTTCTGCTCCGATTTTTCATGAGATGGACTTAAAGATCTAAAATTCATTCCAGATACACAATATTACCATTTCTCTCAAACATTGTTCACAAATCTTATGGCTTATGGTGGAGAAATGAACATTCAATGCACGAGCAACAGATCTGGTTGACATTCCTGCTGTCAGCATGCCAATTGCACACTTCCTCAATGCTTGTGGCATCTGTGGCATTTTGTTGTGAGACAAAACTGCACATTCCAGGGTGGCCTTTTATTGTGGGGAGTATAAGGTACACCTGTGCAATACTCATGATGTCAGATCAGCATCTTGATGTGGCACACCTGTGAGGTGGGATGGATTATCTCAGCAAAGCACAGGTGCTCACTATCACACATTTACAGGCCATTTAGACTGATTTGTGAACAATGTTTGAGAGAAATGGCAATATTGTGTATCTGGAATGAATTTTAGATCTTTAAGTCCATCTCATGAAAAATCGGAGCAGAAACAAAGGTGTTGCGTTTATATTTTTGTTGAGTGTCTATTTGTCTGCCTAAGGTTAAGGTTTGGCACCAACTCCTCTCTCTCTCTCTCCTGATGTGAACAGATACCAGCACCTCTTAGATGAAATCCATCAGTGTTATCTGGACCAGAGAGAGCAGCTCCTCAGTCCCTGCATTACATCCACCATTACTGACTTAACCAAGCAAAACAGCAAAGACCACTGTGCTCTGGTAAGGCTTGGCAGGTTCAAAGCTGCTGCTGCCCTTTAGATAGTTTAAGATGACATTTCAGTTTGTGCAGAATGGACAGCACGGGCCCTCTGGGATGTTTTCAGGAGTGTTTGGAAGAGGCACAAAGCTGGCCACAGGATAAACCAACGTGACCTGATACTGTTTACAGAAGCTTCACAATATCTCTCCTTCCTTTTAGTATTTTGTAATTGTTTGTGTCTGTTCAGGTTCGCAGTGGCTGTGCCTTTATGGTTCATGTGTGTCAGGATGAACACCAGCTGTACAACGAGTTCTTCTCCAAATCTACCCCCAAACTAGAGTGAGTAGCACCCGCCGTACTAGTTCAGATTGTTGATTGAACATAAAGACGGGCTTTGTTCTGGAGCACAGATGCAGTAACTTTGTTTGTTTAAGGTGAGGCGTTTATTGAGTCTATAAACACCTTTGCAGGTTGCTTCACAGTTATTTAGATGGTGCATCTTGAATTAAAAGGACTTTTTAAGTTAAATGGTAAATGGCTTGTATTTGATATAGCGCCTTCTAGAGTCCTGGAACCCCTCAAGGCGCTTTACAACACAGTCATTCACCCATTCACACACATTCACACACTGGTGGGGATGAACTACAATGTAGCCACAGCTGCCCTGGGGCGCACTGACAGAGGCGAGGCTGCCGAGCACTGGCGCCACCGGTCCCTCCGACCACCACCAGCAGGCAACGTGGGTTAAGTGTCTTGCCCAAGGACACAACGGCAGCGACAGACTGAGCTTGGCTCGAACCTGCAACCTTCCGATTGCTGGGCGAGCACTTATCTCCTGTGCCACCGTCGCCCATTATGTTTTACACCTTTTTTATTCTCTGGCAGTGAGCTTCTAGAGAAGTTATGTTTGTCACTGTATGACGTTCTCCGGCCGCTGATTATCCACATCGTCCACCTTGAAACCCTGTCTGAGCTCTGCAGCATCCTGAAGAACGAGATGCTGGAAGACCATGTTCATAACAATGGTAGGTCAGAGTTTTGTTCTCTCTCTCAAAGTTCTTTAAATGTGATCGAACCGTCAACTTTTTTGATAAAAATTTTGAGAGGTAGTGTTTTAATCATTCATTCACATCCGGGATTGGGTCGCGGGGGCATTAGCCTAAGCAGAGAGGCCCAGACTTCCCTCTCCCCAGCCACTTGGGCCAACTCCGGGAGAATCCCAAGGCCTTCCCTGGTCAGCAGAGAGACATAGTCCCTCCAACGTGTCCTGGGTCTCCCTTTAGGTCTCCTCTCAGTTGGACGTGCCTGGAAAACCTCACCAGGGAGGCGTCCAGGAGGCATCCTAACTAGATGCCCGAGCCACCTCAACTGGCTCATCTCGATGTGGAGGAGCAGCGGGTCTACTCCGAGCCCCTCCTGGATGACTGAGCTTCCCACCCTACCTCTAAGAGGGAAAGAGACACCCTGCGGAGAAAATTCATTTTGGCCGCTTGTATCCGCGAGCTCGTTCTCTCGGTCACTACCCAAAGCTCACGACCATAGGTGAGGGTAGGAACGTAGATCAACTGGTGATTGGAAAGCTTTGCCTTCCAGCTCAGCTATCTCATTATGACAGATCGGTACAACACCTGCATCACTGCAGTCTGCCTGTAGATCTCCTGCTCCATCGTTCCCTCACTCATTAACAAGACCCCAGATACTTAAGCTCCTCCACTTGAAGCAGAACGTCGAAGAAGGCATTCTGTTAAGTTCAGTTTCTTTATATAGCACCAAATCATTACAAGGCACTTGATAAAGTAAACATTACAATTGAACCAACTTTTCAGTGCGTTGAGTTCAGTTTATTATGCAAATTAATTAAATGTTTCCGTTGTAAGAAAACCCAATAGAATGCATGGAGTCACTGACTATGTACCTTTATTCGATTCAAGACCAATATCTCGGACTTGAAGGTGCTAATTTTAATCCCAGCTGTTTCACACTCTGCTGCGAGCTGCTCCCATGAAAGTTGCAGATCACGGTCTGAAGAAGCCGACAGGAACACGTCATCTGCCAAAGCAGAAACCTGATCCTTATCAATCTTAGAAAAGTGAATTCTAAATTAAAGGTGGAGTAGACAGTCCTGGAAAAAGCCGTTCGAGCAAGTTACAGTAAAAAAAATACAAAGTCTATCCCCCTTTCTTCTGGCACCCCCTTAAGCCACGCCTCCAGGACACAGAGTAATGCTGGACTTAACGGTTACTGTCAAACAACCATAAAAACATGACGTCATCTTACATTTTCGGCCTATTGTTGGAACCTTTTGTGCCATAATTCCAAAAGTTGCTCACCCCCTTAACAGCCTCCAGGCTTGTGACGGACTCCTCATAGTCCAGTGCCAGTCAGGAGTTACTTCTGATCAGGCTGTGTATACATCTCAGCTCGCTCTGCTTCCTGTTTAACCGCACCAAGCTGAGAACGAGTGATTTGTGCACACAAAGGTGTATATGTGTAGAGAGGGAGGGACTATCAGCATGCAATTTGATGAAGTGATCATGGTCCAATCATTAAGAACGGGGACGTTCACAATGACTGGATGAGGGTTTTCCAGGATAGCAGATTACAGTTAAAGTGATCCCTCGCTACTTCACGGTTCGTTTATCGCAGATTCACGACTTCTAGGATTTTTTCTTTGGAGCCTTATTAGAGGGAAATTCGCCAATTTGCGGTATTTTTCACTGATTTGCGGTATTTTTCTATGCGAAATATCAAGAAATTCCTGTTTTTTTCCATCAATTTCATCATAAAATGCACTTTTTGTAATAAAACAATAAAAAAACCAAGTAAAAAAATTTTTTTTTGAGTTTTACCCACAAAAAGAGAATGTGATCATACAATAATTCAATATAGTACTGTATGTCAGACTGGTCGGCTGGATTCGGGAGTTGAGCTTGTAGGGAGCGTGGAACGCGGAAGTGAGAGCGTCGGTGAAACGCCGGCTCACGATTTAATCTAGGAAACCCCCGAGCGTTCGAGCGTCAACGAAGTGACACGGAAATGCCGGGCTTTCCAGAAGTAAGATAACTTACTATGAGCTGATAGTTCGTGGGATGGATCGGTAGATTGGAAACTCTAATCATGAATCTGAAGAAACGTTGACTGAGTGGTGAGCTGGAAAGGCGACTTCCGTTTATAGCCGCGGTTTGTGACGTAGGTGCGACGTGGAGGGAATCCCCGCGAGGGGCATGCTGGGAGTTGTGGTCCATAGTGGAGGCCGGCTAACTGGAAGAGGCTGGCCTGGGAACTTGGGTTCTGACACTGTACTGTAAATATGGTGTCCCTACTTCGCAGATTTTCACCTATTGCGGCCAGGTCTAGAACGCATCTACCGCAATAAACGAGAGATCACTGTATTAGTTTTCATCGGTATGTGAAGAGCTTTTCATAGAAAATGCTCCAGAAAACGTCTCCCACTGCCCCTTTTAAGTTGCCTTTAAATGATTACATCAAATTATGTCAAATGAAATCTGCTGTGGGTGTTATCTTGAGAAGAAAACCCCCCGAAGTCAAAGAGTTCTCCATCACATCCCGATTAATTATTTTGCATATAACCCTACATTTTCTTTAATCTGAAAAGTTGACTTCTAATCCACGCTTTTAAGACTGGCCAACAAGAGATTTAAGGATATTTGTAGCTTTGATTTATTTGCCAAAGGTGGAGATTTGTTGTGATTCTGAATCTGATGGATGTGACCTCGATGTGCTTTCATGTAGCTGCTCAGCTGGGCGCCTTTGATGCGGTAGTGAAGCAGATGCTGGAGGATGTCCAGGAGAGGCTGGTCTACAGGACCCACATTTACATTCAGACTGATATCTCAGGTTACAACCCAGCTCCGGGTGATCTGGCTTACCCGGAAAAACTGGAGATGATGGAGGTGAGGCTCACGAGTGTGATTTTGGTGCAACAAAGTCGATATTTTTAACACGAGTCATTGTTTCAGCTGTTTTTGAACTGAGATATGAGTCAAGCAGCAGCGTTTTTTTATTATAAAGCTTTAGATCCCTCCTCAGCTGATTGTAATATTTAGTCTAATAAGCATCAAAACAACTGCCCGTCACAACTTCCTTTCTTTAAAAGGTTTCACAATTCTTCCATCTTTACTGATTTATTTGAGAAACAACGTTTTAACGTATTATCACGAGCGTTCTGGCATATTCTCCTGTGGTCTTTGCATATTAATGTCCTTTTGTCTGTGTCTTTTCATTCTTTTTCTCTGTTTTTTGCTTTTAGAAGAATTTTGTTTTAAGTCGAGCTTTCAAAGACTCATACTTCTATAGCTGATGAAAAAATGGTATTTCCAACACCTTCTATCTATTCTTTCATAAGATGTTGCAATGCTTGAAACCTTTTTATGTAAATGAAAGGCCTCGGATTGCCTTTGGTCTTGTGAGAACCAGCACATGTCGTGAATAAACATAAACGTGTCAGCGTGGCAAAGCTGTGTGTGAACAGTCGTTACACGTGTTGCACCAGCAGTGTTTTTGATGTTCCCCTCAATACTTTTTAGATGTGCATCAGTTTAGTTTGATCCCATTTACAGAGTTGTGTATTTAAACATTTCTGTGGCATCGATAGAGAATTGCTCAGAGTTTGAAGGAAGAACAGCTCAAGCAAACGTCGCAAGAGCCCTCGTTTTCGGACGTACAGCTCGACGATGCAGAAGCTAGAAGAAACAGTAATGCCGGTGTGTTCTTGGGGTTTTATTGCATTTTTTTCATCTTATGATAATGATTTTTGCTACAGTTTTCCTGACATTTCCCCCTTGTTGTTTGTACATGAAACAGGAAGCTTAGAAGCATCTCGTCTACACACGTCTGTGTCTCCCGCTGATCTGCACGGCATGTGGTACCCCACTGTCAGGCGAACACTGGTTTGTCTGTCCAAGCTCTACAGATGCATAGACGTAAGAGCTCATCTACACCTCTGCAGAAACGGTGGCGTTTAATTATAGCACCATTCTGTTATTTGTTTTCTTACACCGCCTTTTCATCTTCTCCTAGAAAGCAGTGTTTCAGGGTTTATCTCAAGAAGCCTTATCTGCCTGCATCCAGTCGCTGCTCAAAGCCTCCGATATCATCCTGAAAAACAAGGTTTGCACGCGTCGTTGAGTGCAGAAAGTAGTTTTGTGTTTAAGCTTCCAGTGTGATAAAATTAGGGGCGAAAAGGCTGTTTTGTCTTGGAGCGATCAAGTTTGGGCACCTTTAGTCAAAATTTGAAGTTAAACCAACCTTAATACATAAAGTATACTGGTCACTTTATTAGATACACCTGTCCAACTGCTTGTTAACACAAACGACTAATCAGCCAATCACATGGTGGCAACTCGGTGCATTTAGGCATGTTGACATGGTCAAGATGATATGCTTCAGTTCAAACTGAGCTTCAGAAAGGTGATTTAAGTGACTGAATGTGGCATGGTTGTGGTTGCCAGACGTGCTGGTCTGAGTATTTCAGAAACTGCTGATGTTCTGGGATTGTCGCACACACAACCGTCTGTAATGTTTACAGAGAATGGTCAGAAAAGGGGGGAAAACATCCAGTGAGCAGCAGTTCTGTGGGCGAAATGCCTTGTTGAGGTCAGAGGAGAATGGCCCGACTGGTTCAAGCTGATAGAAAGTCAACGGTAACTCAAATAACCGCTCGTTACAACCAAGGTATGCAGAAGAGCATCTCTGAACACACAACGCGTGGAACCTAGCAGCAGATGGGCTACAGCAGCAGAAGACCACACCGGGTGCCACAAGTGCCACTCCTGTCAGCTAAAAACAGGAAACTGAGGATACAATTCACACAGGCTCATCAAAATTGGACAATAGAAGATTGGAAAAATGTTGCCTGGTCTGATGAGTCTCCATTTCTGCTGCGACATTCAGATGATGGGGTCAGAATTTGGCATCAGCAACATGAAAGCATGGATCCATCCTGCCTTGTATTAATGGTTCAGGCTGGTGGTGGTGGTATGATGGTGTGGGGGAGATTTTATTGGCACACTTTGGGCCCCTTAGTAGTAATTGATCATCGTTGCGACGCCACAGCCTACCTGAGTATTGCTGCTGACCATGGCCATCCCTTTATGACCACAGTGTACCCATCTTCTGATGGCTACTTCCAGCAGGATAATGCACCATGTCATAAAGCTAAAATAATCTCAGACTGGTTTGTTGAACATGACAATGAGTTCACTGTACTCAAGTGGCCTCCACAGTCACCAGATCTCAATCCAATAGAACACCTTTGGGATGTGGTGGAACGGAAGATTTGCATCATGGATGTGCAGCCGACAAATCTGCAGCAGCCGTGTGATGCTATCATGTCAATATGGACCAAAACCTCTGAGGAATGTTTCCAGTACCTTGCTGAATCTCTGCCACAAAGGCAAAACGGGGTCCAACCCAGTACTTGCAAGTTGTACCCAATAAAGTGGCCAGTGAGTGTATATTGTTAGTTATTGAGAAAAATCAAATTTGAGCTCACACATGGACTTCCACTGAGTTCTGAGGCTCTGAAGAGGTTTCAGCTATGAACCGAGGAGCTTTTGACCTGCTCTCTGCCCACATTTTAATTTTTCAAAGATGTGATAAAAAAGTAATCCTGCCTAAATGATTAAGTGCATTAGGTCTAGCTGGATGCTTTCTAGTCAGCTTTTAACCTTCAGATGTTTTAATTAGGGGTGCCTAAACTTTTGTAAGCCAGTGTAGACGATAACCTTAATCATTTGTTGTTTAGAGGAAAACAAATACCCAATTTCTCCGATTTTAAGCCGCTTTCATTGCCGTATTTAAAATTTAATTAAATGTTGTTTTTTTTGTGTTTTGCAGTTTATCTTATTTAATAGAAACCAAATGACACTAGAGTTCAGCATAATCTTTTATTTAGGTGCTTTTCTCACTTTCAGATTTCTCTTGTCAATATCTGGTGCCAAGTTGCATTTCAGCCTCCACCTTCCCCACAGATTAAAACAGCTTTAATATCTGAGGATCTGTTCCCTCCTCATGCTGATGATGCATTTCCTCCCCAATCTTTTATACATGATCTCAGCTTCCTGATTTGTGACAGTAGCGATTCCCTTTCGGGCTACGGTTAATCAGCAGTTATTAATTAGACACATTCCCATATCATCACTGAGCCTGTGCTTTTTATGCTCGCTGTAGTTTGGGTAGTCAGCAGATGCCCCGTGTGTGTGTGTGTGTGTGTGTGTGTGTGTGTGTTGGCAGCCTGCAGTGTGGACGTAACTGTGCCTTCTTCCTTGTCTGCAGACACAAATAGATGGGCAACTTTTCCTGATCAAGCACCTGCTGATAATGCGTGAGCAGATTGCTCCATTTCACACTGATTTTGCCATCAAGGAAATCTCACTGGACCTGAAAAAAACGCGGGGTAAGATAATTAAAGGCGCAGGGAGAACATTGGCGTTCAGCTCCATAAAGCCAGTCATTACATTTTCATGCTCATTAAGCAACGTGTGCCTATCACATGCACCGGTGGCAACAATTAATGTGGAGATTGTAATCCAACACCATAATGTACATTAACCGATGCCTCTTGGGGCAGAGTGGCTCCTCCCATCGCCCTCTTCTGATTTAATGACATGTTAAACGTCTCACCACTAGATGGCACTGTTATTCTGCACCAACCTGAGATCTAATCTCCCTGCTTTCTGTTAAGATGCTGCCTTCAAAATCCTGAACCCTAAGGCTGTTCCCAAATTCTTCCAACTCAATAGTCACAATGCCATACTCGAATTCCTGTTGGAGGTATTTTTTTCTCCTCTTCTTCTCTTTTTCACCTATTATATTAAACATGGCTTTCACTTTGATAGCACCCTGCCTCAGGGAGCCAGCACTTGATAGTGCTAAAGCCTTTTTCCTCTATGACCCCCCAGGGAACACCAGAGATAAAGGAGCACTACATTGACTCAAAGAAGGATGTGGACCGACACCTGAAGTTCAGCTGTGAGCAGTTTATCCAGCAGCAGACTCAGATCTTTGTGGGGAACCTTGAGGAGTTTCTCACCAAGGTAACGGTTAGCGCGAAGGCAGAGTTAGCCTCAGGCAGAAGCAGCTCATCCCGACCTTCATTTTTTTTCCACAGCTTTTGAAAACATTTGTTTAAAAATCATTTTCTTATTCGTTTATAACTGATGCTTTCAGCGCTTAAACTTCAAGAAAGGCTTATTTTCTATGTTTCTACCAAGGATTTCTAATTGTGTTAAGTGCCGGCGTGTGATAATGCATTTTTCATACATAGATTGTGTTAAGCAGCAATTATCTGTCACTTTTATCCTCCTACTAACCAGTTTTTCTACTTTTACTTAAATAATTCTTCATCTCTTTCCAATTTAAGACAGAAATACACGATGTGAAGCTACCACACAGCTCTTTTTCTCTCTTGGTTGTGCTCAGGTTGCAGCTCTTAAAACCATGGTAGTGCAAGGTGGTCCCACGTACAGCCTGTCTCAGCAACCTTGGGCACAGCCAGGTAAGATTTGTCTCGGAGAACGCCACGAGCACCACGCAGCAATCCATCAAACTCGTATAGCAAATGCTAGAGGGCATGTCAGTGTTTTTCCTTGTCTGTATAATCCTTTTCTCTCTCTCGCTCCCCGTCTCTTTTTCAGCAAAGATCAACGATGTAGTGATGGCCACCTACCGGGTGATGAAGAGCAAGCTGCCCGGCACTTTGCAGAGCATGTCCTTGTACTTGGCCAATAGAGACACAGAGTTCATCCTTTTCAAGCCTGTCCGGGTGGGTGGCAGACCAACTCAGATGTAACACAAACCAAATGACTCGTTTTCTCTTTAAGCTATTGTTAAAGCTGATTAAAGTTTGTGAAATCTCTTGAGAAACCACAGAGAACCGTGCTTTAACCTCAGAAGGTAACCAACGTCTTCAACTGATTAACTTTAGGAGCGAGCCTCATTCAAGATAGCCATCACAGTTAATCAACCCTGAGCTGGAGGCGTGCTACACAACCTTCACAATCTGTACACGATTGAAAGACTTTGAGTTTATACTGGACAAACTGGTTCCAGTTGGGTTTTGTTTGAAGATCAGAAGTGTGGTCATCAGCTGTGCCTGACCACATGGTTTATCAGCTAAAGCCAACTGAATCAATCAAACTCGTGTGAGAGCGACAGTTTAAAGCAGTGAACCTCAACCGGTGGTCCGCGGGCCACACCCGGCCCACCATTATCACTTAAATCAGGAATACAGAAAAGTAATATTCTGCTTTTTTTTCCTGTATCAAATTAAACAAACAGAAAAACGGCCTTTAATCAGAAATGACTACAAACTCGGCTAAAATTTAATCTGCAGCAGTTTTATTAGAAGCTCTGTTTTTTGCGCCTTTTCACTACAATAGCGCATAATTGCGATGTCTCGGCAGAAAACACAAAGAAAGCAACACAAGTGAACAATATTTACCAGGTTGATAGGCAGAGCCAAAGTGGTTGCGTAAAACTCTCCCTTGGAAGCAAATAACTAAAGATTAGGCACTTTTTGGCAATCGGCATGCCTGAAATTCGACGGAAAGCACAAATAGGAAGCGTAATATGTCGCGGCAGCCCCCTAGTGGGTTTAGTTTGTAAAGAACAAATGAACATAAACACTGACAACTGCTAAAAAAAAATTGCAGAAATTTGGAAGGAAACCTAATATATCAAATATTGACGTATTAACCTCCTGATAACCTGGGTTAACATATACCAATATTGGCTTCTTGCTCTAGAATATTTTATTCTCTTCAATTTAGACCTTTATTTTTTATCATTTAGAAACATTTGATATTGACTTGAAGTAAAATATCTTTTATTTCTGTTTTTTTCTAGGAAACCTGTCAATATTTTTACTTAATTTTACTTAACATCACAACAAATACAAATTTGGGTCTCCGGAGGTTAAGATACAATAATAATTTAAATTTATTTGAGGAAAGCATCTGGCCGTCAGCGTGTCACTCTGGGCCTTGAACAAATCTAGTTGAAGACCGCCAGTTTAAAGGGTAAATAAAGTGATGAGTTTATGGAGGTTTGCTTGATCAGGCCTCTTCCATTCTTACGGTTTGCTGTTTTTATATTTCAGCTACTTTCCGTCACCTTCTAAAGCTCATTTTTTCTGTCCCATCAACTCTTTTTCATTAGCTGTCGGCCACATATGTTTGCAGTTGGGTTGGTAATCCAGATTAGGCTCCAGAAATTCAAAAATGTTTGATTCTGTCTGAGGTCTGGACTGCTCAGACTGGTTTAGACTTAGCCTAAGTGGGAATTGTTGGTAAAATTTTGCAAAAAATAAAAAAGGTCATGCAGTTTGGTTCATTTTGCAGATGTTGAGCCACATTTTGATACAGCGGTAGCTGGAAGCTATTTGTGCTTACGGATCGTACAAGATTTTATGTTCTAGTAATATTTCATTTTAAAGATTTGAATAGAAATCTTTTTCCCATTTAGTGCCTTTTAGGATAAAATCCCAAGTCAAGCACAATAATAAATTTAAAAATAAAGATAACTAAAATATAACAAAATAAAAACAAAGATTAAAACATAAGGATAAAAAGAAAAAGACTGACTCATCATTTTTCACATGAGACATGTTTAGTTTACAGCAAACATAAGGTTCCCCCCGTCTCCCCCTACTGGTTGAACGCAGAATTGCACAAGTAAACCAGCCTGCCGCTAGCTTGGCAGATATGTGATGTCAGACAAGGGGTTGTATTTTGCATGGTTTTGTGAATGAAGAATTATTGGCTGTTCAGAAATGAAGAAAAAAATGACTTTGCTACTTTTTAGATGGTTGAAGTTGAAACTGACGAGTGTGGGCCGATGTTCGCTGTGGTCATAGCTATTTGCTTCTATTTCTTGTACTTTTTATTGACGATCGGTGAACTGAAAAAGCTAACTGCTAGCCTTTGCTGCACATTAAAGACATAAAGCGGGTAGAAACACATCATCTGTGCCTACTTGAACCACCAAAGTGGTTAAGTGTAGTTTCTGATCACCAGAGCGCTACAGAATGCAGTCCCACGTGAAGCTGCTCAAGTTTCTGACTCACTGGAACCATTTTGAAAGCAACAGCTTAAAGTGTATACCAATCTAATTCTGTTATGCTGTTTGTTTTATCTGTCACCAAACAAAGCTGTAATTACGTCACAACCCATTCATTATTAGGAAACTCAACGCTGTAGTAAGAGGTCTGTTAATAAAGTAAAAATAAACCTTTAGATGGTAGTTCAGTGTTTGAATCTACGTTTGAAATGTCTGTTTGGTTTAAACGTAGCACAGAGATGCTGCCTTTTTAGTCCCAGAGAATCATCGGTGGGATTGAGCTCTAATAGAGAAATATTTGTGCAGCCTGTGTGCTGTTCATCAAGGTGCCAGGTGAGCCTGAATGAGAGAGTCAAAATTCAGCCGTTGACATGGAAACAAGATAGTGAGGGGACATAGGCCAAATGGAAATGTGGTTTAATTTTCCTCCAGCGCTCAGTAATATGATGGCTTTTTCTCCCCACAGAATAACATCCAGCAGGTATTCCAAAGACTGCACGCCTTGCTTCAGGAGGAATACAGTGGAGAAGACCTTCAAATCATCGCATGTCCATCCATGGAGCAGGTACAGTACTGTGGGATTAGCACAGCCTTTAGCACGTTGGGACACTTAAACCGGCTGCAGCATCCAAAACTGCTGCAAGCAACCAAGAAATTAGCATGATCTATCCGCACTGGCGCAGCGAGCGCTCATCGCTTTCCATGGCTTTCTTTCAGATTAACCTGCTACTGTCTGTGAATAAGTAAAGTCTGGTGAAGATGCTCTCCATAGCAACATGAAGCCACAGCTTCAGCCACGCCCCCGAAGCCGTGAAGCTGCGAGAAGACCAGATAAACTGCACCGCTACCGCCTGCAGGTTCAGGAAGGCTGGATGGAAGTTTAAAGTGGATCTCACACTAATCCAAAGATTTACTTTAAATTCTTTTATTCTCTCTCCCGCCATCTCTCCATTTTGAAGATTCACTACAACCAGGGAGGTGGCCATCAGCGTTTTGGGGTGTAGAGTTAATGATTGAATTAGAAGCGGTGGCGGGTTAGGGCTGCTTTCATCTAAGAGAAATCCGTGGCTACAGTAATGGGTTTTTGATCACAGTTGCATCCCACCACCAAATTGTTTGGGGGGGGGATAAAAAGGGACATGATTTCCATTCCTGGTGGAAATCTCTGATTAGAACCCATTAGGTGCACAAATAGGCTCGTTGAACAGCTGCTCATCAGGCAGGAAGCTAATGGCCAGTACGGAGCTGACGGTCATACGCTTCAATTCCCCTCCTGGATTTGGAAGGGCAGCATAAAAAAAAAAACAAGAAATGCTGCAGAATGTTTCGTTTTTATTTTCTTTTTGTAACACTCTGTGACTCAGGTCCAACATGTTACCCCTCAGATCCAATCAGCACAGCTGCTTTCATCCATATCCTCCTTGAACAGGTTTCTGGGGATTCTGTTGCACATTTAATGTTTTATACTTTTGTTCTTTTACAACTAGATTGATTAAAAACATTTATTCTGACACAATAATAAGCATTGGGACTTTGCTCTGTATGATGTATGAATGTGTAAAGTCCTCAGAGTAGCAGGACGTCATCAGTGTAATGTATTTACTCCAGTGTGTCCCGTGTAAAATGACGTGTAGAGGTCTTCTATTTATGGGCGTCCTAATTAAAAAGAGGTTAATAAAGTTACTTGGCTTTATTTCTAAAAAGCACTTAGTGGTTACATTCAAATTCAGGGGGCGCTTCAGAGCTAAAAGGAAATCCCGCTGAAGGACGACATCAGACTTTTTTCTTTTGGAAGGGCGTGGGGGGTCTTCTTGGAAAAGCGGTGCTGTCTCACTGGCAGCTGCCGTCTTTCCATCTGTGAGATGAGGCTTTGCTGGTGCTCGACCTTCGGTGGACCGGCGGCCCTTTTGATAGGCGATGAGGGACTGGATGTTCTGAAGTAGTACATTGATCTCTTCGCTCTTCTGGATCAGGTTCCTCTGAAGCAAATCGGGCGCTGACACCATTAGATCCTAGCTTTTTATTCACCTGCCATCACAAAGAAAGGTGAAGCAGATGACTGATCATTTCTTTACTTCACATAAATGGTACCAGACTTTCAGTCTCGTCTCTGTTGAGCCGTACTCCGCCTTTATCCGAGGTGAACGTGATGCTGATGTTGACGCTAGGGCTTAGAGTCGAGGGTGGAGCGTGAACGTGATACTTGTTGTCCAAGCGGCTCCTGGGTCTCTTCAAATCTCCGGTCTTGCAGCGGTAGACGCTTTCCCATGAAGTGAGATTAATTGTATAAAATATGACTAATGAATAAAACATTTTAACAAATGCTACCATTTTTTTAATGCGACCAGGTGACTGTAGCTGATTTAGTGGTGAGGCCATTTAAAGTTGATAAAGGAGATGAATTGATGCCAAATTTGCCAGAGGGTTCACCCTTAAAGAGACAATGTGCAGTTTTTACCATTATCTCTGGAAATATCCATTAAAATGTTGGAGGCTTTATAACATACAACCATAAAAATCAGGTCTAAAATACATGGAAGTGGGTCCAAGTCCCTGGGTGACACCATGTTCTACGGGAGCTCATGAGGACAAAATGCATTTACTGATCTGTAACAAACCGTTAACTTGTGTTCTTCTTAAAAGATGTTTTACACATTTTCCTCTTCACTCGTTGCCAGTGATGAAAGGGAGTCTGACGTGCTCATTATTTAACAAAAGTTAGCACTCCATAGGGCTTTTTGGCCCTAATAGGCATCTGTTGGTAAAGTCTTACTCCAACACAAAAATACTGCTTGCTTGCAACCATGTAGGTATAAACTGCCCCCGATCGGCACGCTGTCACTTTAATGAAGTGTGTCCTGTTTATCAGAAAAGATAAATGGTAAATGGCCTGTATTTGATGTAGCGCCTTCTAGAGTCCTGGAACCCCCCAAGGTGCTTTACAACACAATCAGTCATTCACCCATTCACACACTGGTAGGGATGAGCTACAATGTAGCCACAGCTGCCCTGGGGCGCACTGACAGAGGCAAGGCTGCCGAGCACTGGCGCCACCGGTCCCTCCGACCACCACCAGCAGGCAACGTGGGTTAAGTGTCTTGCCCAAGGACACGACAGCGACAGACTGAGCGGGGCTCGAACCTGCAACCTTCCGATTGTGGGGCGAGCACTTAACTCCTGTGCCACCGTCGCCCCGGTGAGAGTAAAAGTTCAACAGGTGACTTCATCGCTGTCTAATCTGGGTTTTAATTAGATAGTTTTGGTTAAAATGTCCATGTGAAAATAATTCAATAACTTCAACCATTAAACTGAAACCGTTTTTGTAGTTATTTTTCTATTTCAGGGAACAAAGCATCATCCATGGCTCCACTGTGCTTGTTTGTGTCCTGCAATGTAGATAAAAGTGACACAATGTGGATAAGCCAAAGGGATGTAAGGAAAATCCTAATCTGCTTGAAATATGGTGCAGAGTGTGTGCAACCTGCTGCAGGGCTCTGGCCATTTGAATCCTTTTGATTCCAATCCTTTCAGCCTCCGGCGTTTAATGGAAAATTGGAAATTCTAAAGTTGAGTAGCAGAGAAATTTAATTTGAAACACTTTCAATCATGAAACTCGGTCACGGAGAAGCAACGCTGACCTTTGATCTAACGGCTGCAGAGTCCCTACCGGTCACAGTTTCATCAGCGGTAGCTGCCGCAAGACAAGGACTTTTGCATTTAACTGCAGACAATCGGAAAAAGCAAAAAATAAAATAAAAAGTGGAAACTAAAATCCCGCTCAGATTTTATTTTTGTATTTATTTGCTATCAGTTTATTCATCTTATTTCTGACATTAGTATAAATTCTACCAAGGATTGTTTTCTGCAGAAAGACATTTTTCTGGACTCAAGCTGAAGAATACAAGTTTGCATGCACCCTCATCAAATCACAAACAGAAAGGATGTCCTCATTTTTTACGACAAACTTATGTAAGAGTTAAAGTTATATCAGATCTTAATGGTTTACTGAAATCAAACCTCTAGTCTACCAAGGACACTTTGGTACCCAGCGGATTGGATACGTCTGCTTTTCTGGAACACACGGATATTAAACAGCTGAATTTGCTCACTCACATACATAATCAAACACTCAAATGGCCCAGAGACAGCTACGTTCTGGACTCTGAGGCTGTACTTTGGCTCATTTTTCATTTGATCTAAATGCTAAAATTGGTTCATTCCCAACAGTGATACTTAAAATATACTTTTCAATCTCATTCTTGCACATATTAAAGATGAAACCACAATGAAACGTATGATTACAAACATTGTTGGAGTTTCAATTGGATGAAAGAATGAATAGAATGAGTTCGTAAAAGGGAGATATGACGTATTTTGGCTTGCTTTTAGCACCTCCTAGTGTCCGTTCAGTAGAACCAAACGCAAAACGTATCTCATCGCTGTGTGTTTGATGTTTTAAAGTGATGGAGACTTATTTCAACCAGAATTTCTGTTAGAAAAATACCTGGAAAACGGGCGTTGCCTGGAGGACAGAGAGAGCAACACTGAAGAATGCTTCACAGCACCACCCTCAATCCCCCTGTGTGCGCTCTCAGACTTTCTCAGTCAGAAAAACGAGTGGCTATCAAGCACACAGAAAAGCAAACTTACCGCTCAGGAGAAGAGCAGACACAGAAACTGACTGCAAGAAGGAGGATTTCTGGTTCCTGGAGATCACTGGGACAAAGAGGAGGAGATATATTTTTTAAGGAAGTGAGTGGCTCCGAGTGCCAACGTCATAACAGCAGGTGACTGGTTGAGCCAGGTGGAGGTGCAGCTGAGACTCAGCAGGAGTCCTGTGCAGTGTAGCCACGTAGCACTGCACTGGACGTCACCCTGCAGCTCTGCAGCAATCAGCTGTGGCTGATTCAAAATCAACGTGGAGCAGAGATATAATTACAGTTTTGGGCTGAAGTAAGTTGCACTAAACTGACAAAATATTAATTACACATGTCTACAGCACTATTAGACACTCATCTATACAGGTTATTAGCAACAACCCCCCCCCCCCCCCCCAAAAAAAAAAAAACCCCAGTTGATTTAGGTTTAACTCGTGTTACTTTAACACCTTAATCTAACAGCTGAAATATCTCCCCAGCCTTCATTAGTGTCTACAGGAGTGATTCATCACTACATTAAACAAATCAATGCTCATGATCTAAGATGTGCTGGAAGCAGACTCCAGAGCCAGGTATGTCAGCTCAGTCTGCCGGTCCACAGGTGGACCAGCACTCTGAAGTTGCAAATGTGGTATTCTGACCACAGAGGGCCGTGGGGTCTGAGTGACATTTCATTAGCCTTGTAAAAGGGTCATTTTAGCACATAGTGGCTCAAGACAATTATTTAAAATATGGAAGAGTTGCAAAGTATCCCTTTAAATCAACAACATGTGTTGTTTTATTTCGGCACTTTGGATATCCATATGCAATTTAAAGTCCTATCCATCCAATTGTTTTGATGCTTTATTATGGATCTTAAATTTAAGGCCCATATGGACACTACAAAAATGCAGGATATTGTTTAACCCTCTGGAGGCAGGCGTTGGAGATTTGCAACAGTTAAAACCTACCTACCTGGTTACTCCACATACGTATTTCATGAGCATTTTTAACTCGGAAGTACCCCTGAAGGACTTAGTTGTTTGTCGTTTTATCAAAACTCATTTTGAGCCTAAGAGGGTTAAGAAGGAAGAAACATTTTTCAGTCATTTCAAGTTGGATCCAATTAATTAATATTACCGTCCCCCATAGCTGCTGAAAGCTCCAGGGGTGGCGAAAATTGAAAAAAGCTTTAGAAATTGCACTATTTCAGTATTTTAGATATTCTACACAATCTCTGTTATTAAAACTTGGAATAATACAAATTCAGTTGTATTTAGGTGCAAGATTTCTCTGATTATTCCACCTTAAACCTGCATGAGCAAGGCATTTGTTGTTATTTATCACCATTATAGCACCACATGTACTGCAGAGCCCCTCTGATCTCTCATGGGTCAGCACTGTTAGTGATTTGAACATCGGCCACTGGGGCTTTCTCCTGCTTCTGGCTGTTCTCTGAGCAAATGTTCAACACAGCGTGCTGCAATTTCTTTGATCCACTCCAAGCTTGAATCTAAAAACAGGAAAAAAAAAACATAACAAATGCTTCCAATTATTTTCCATCCTACTCCCTCCTTGCGAGAAAATATATAATTATAAAGGAGGTGTTAAAATTCCAAGACAGCGCCTGACGTTTTTAGAACAAGGATCAGCCGTGACAGGCAAGTTTTGTAATAAAACAAATTGAAACTAATTGCTAGCCCCACAAATGAATTCACATTCATACCAGAGGAGAAAAATGAGCAGTTTATAAGTGACATTCTTCCTCCATACCTTGTCAAGATTATTTAAAGTCTCTTCAATTCCTTCTTCGCGGGCTGTGGGAGCTCAGGGAGTTTCCTTGCTGTGCAAATCCAACATTTCATTATCTGGGGATATCTCCGACTCAGGCTTCATGTTTTTAAGAACACTCTGAAGTGGAAAAAACAAAGACTCTTCATAATTTATTAAATTCTTTGAGGTCTTTAACTTGCGCTTCATGAATAAATCAAAACTGTGAAACTCCATGTCTCTGGGTACCATGTCACATCATCTTTCACAAGATAA